AACACCCCAACCTCGCCGTAGCACGGGGCCGCCTGAGAACTCGTAAGTCGGTTGATAACCCACGTCCAAACTAAATACAATGAGGAACAGCAAGCCAGGGTTGTAACGTTTCAACATCTTTGAGGCAACATTAACACAGGGTAACATTGAAACATTGAAACTCTATGCCCAAGAAAAAGATGGAAAAGGGACACACATTGAAATTCTTTAAGCACTGCTTGATTTCCTCGCACTTGTTCCACGTTCCCAGTCCCATGTCAGTGCTTCGCCACGACCCAAGGCCCCGACTAGACCCATGAAGTCAGTCCATCTTCCATGTGCCCATGAACCCAAAAATGAGAGCTATGATTGCTGAAGGTTTGGTGTCCCTCTGGTGTCCCTGGCCCTGTTGCATCCTGTGGCATTGCCAGTGGATGCCAGTGGTTTTTGTCCCAAAAAAACCGTGGACTGAGGCATGACAGCTGTGGCCGTGCTGGCGGATGTATAGCAAGCATCGGGTCAAGGAAACTACTGCCAATTTCAACATGACAAATCTATGCTATGTGTGAACATCGACGTCAAAAATGCCCAAACTCAATTGGAGGTCGAGTTTGGTCAGTCTGATCAGTGTGCACCCCTATCTCCCATCCTTTGGCAGCATTCTTTCGCCTTTTGCGAAGCTTGTGTGCTCAAATATTCCGGCACCATGTCAGCGATGTCCGATGGTCATCGCTTTCCAAACGGGGTATGGCTCGAAAGATCTCGAAAGTATCTGCAGCCTGCAACAATTCTGAGGCCAAGTGTCTGGGAATGCATTCTGCACCATACCAAACACCAGTTCTGGATTCATTCAGTGCTCGCCCGTGGATCGCATGATGCTCTCCGAGTCTCAGCCTTGGCGAGGTGGCAAGCATGGAGCCCCTTGAAGCGGTTTCCAGCTAGAACCACTGAACTGGCCAGGAATCTTCAAGGTGCTGAGAAAACCCATGAGGTGCTGAGTGTTTTTTTTTGCCAGTGGTGGGTCAGAATTCTGATACATGGATGGTTTGATGTAGAAAAATTGCACTGATCTGGAGGTCACACTTTCTTCAAATTTACACCCATGCTATATACTTAAATCATTTAATATACCCATGGTGGAACAGCGAACAACACTAAAGTCACTAAACCACCTCAGCTTCCCTCCTCCAGCCGTTTTCCTGCGCCACAGCAGCATACCTGCCGCTCAAACGGAGATTTCCAAGCCTGTTGCACCGCCGCACCACTCTGAAATTGTCAGTGCTGTGCCTTGAAAAAGCCTCCGCGAGCCATTGCTTCGGCTGTGGGAACTAGGGAGTCATCCCGAAGTATATAGGTCAGAAATATTGACAACTTGAGAAAAAATGGGGGAGCAAACCATGTGTCATTTCATCCAACTTGGACCTTCTCATACCAAAAACAAACCAATTTAATTCCTTGTAGCATCAAAATCTGCTAGTTGTCAAATGCCAGGAACTTCAGGGAGTCTGTAAGACCCTAAGAGCACCAATCTGTGGGCTGCCTGACCCTTCACACTGTACAAGAGGCACCACCTCCATCTGAACCGAGAAAAAAATCGTTCAGAGTTCAGAGTGGAGCCAGTGTCTTTGGGGTCAGCACTGCCAGGCGCCAGCTTCAAAATCAGTGGCCCCGCTTCAAACGTCCGGGCCAATAACTGGGTGATTTCAACACTGAAAAATCATCATCCCTAGTAGTTGAAGGATGGGACACCAAAACAACACCAAACATCGATGATACCCTCTGGTAATTTAACATAGCTATTGAAAATGGCCATTTATAGTGGATTTTCCCATTAATAATGGTGATTTTCTATAGTTAAGTTAGTTTACCAGAGGGTAATTCAACATCTTGAAACCACCGAGCCAGTCATAATTCGGCGGCGGTCGTTCACCGATCGCTGGCGCGATCCCGCTCAGTACACCAGGGCCAAAGGAACGGTGGGGGGCACCCAGCAATTCGCCAGAGGTTTCCTCGTCAGGACCAGGGCCCCCTGGCCCCCTTGAAATTCCTTGGGGTAACAAGGATTGGGGGGATGACCCATGATTCCATGATGGGAAAATACTTGAAAATACGGGGTGATATGACCATGGCACTTACGGGTCGGTTCAAACATAAGTTTGGTCATATTTGATACTCCAATTCATTGCCTTATTTAAAGTCTTATTTCACAAAAGGGGAACGATGTTCATCGGCGAATTTTGGGGCATCCTGTTTTCAGACAAATCCAAATGTCTTGAGCCTGAAATAAGACCAATTTTCGCACAGTTGGGGGTAGTTCACTTCTTGCTGCCTACTAATTTACGCCCAGGCTGTTGCAAATTGTTGTGTTCAGTCGCTAATGGAACCATGTGCAACATGGAGAACCTCATGAGACGGGCCATCCCTGTCTTGTTCATAGTTCATAGTTCATAGCCATGTTTTGTTGCTATTCCAACATATTTCAATATAGACTATTTCATACATCCATCTTGGGTAAATCCCCTTTGTAAAGGATAGAACATTTTGATGATATTGTTTCCTCCATCGTCATAATTTCCAGGTTGCCAATTGTTCCATCTATCGGATTTCGTAGTTGCCATGCTACATGTTCAACCTCATTAACTGTCTCTATATAAACATAAACATAAACATATACATATACATATACATATACATATACATATACGTATAAATATGCGTATACATGTACATATACATTGTGAATTCCACCAAATCTTGCAGTCCACATGTCACGTTCCCTCCAAGCGCCAGTGTATCTCAGGTGAAACCAATCAATGTCCTTTAGATTTCGGCTTAGGCGAGCCACTGTTGGCGGGAGGGAAAGGGTTCCATCTTGAGCCATAGGTGACCGGGTTCACCTACATTTGCTTGAGGGGCGAGGCCGCCCGACCTGGCATTTGCAGCTGCATCCGTTTCGAAGTGTGTTCTGCTTCGCCGACAGGGTGTTCGGCTACGCCGGCACCTGGACTTCTCAGTTTTGGCGACAAAAGAAGTAGACTGCCTGCTGTGTGAGCTTTAGAGAGGGTTCCATCTGGATTACATAACAGTATCAGTGAATCACTCTGGAAGGGGCTTTTCAATACAGACGATCTACACCAATCATCAGGGTCAGCAGGGCTTCTACCAATTGCTCCAATTGCATTGGTAGCGGAGCCGCCCCACTCCGTTTACAGAAGGGGCGGCATCCGGGGAAATGGCGCAATCAACTGCGTCAGCCTCTGAGCCCAATGTAAGTGTTAGCAATCAGCTGGCATCCTTGGTACCGACGTTTAATCCGAATTGTTGACTGGCGAGGAAAAGTCAGTCCATCGACTGATTGAATTGCTGGGTGGACAATGGGGCCGTATTCCATTACAGAAACAATATGATGATGCTGAGAAAGCGTTGTTTGAGTCAGTACAGAAAGCCGATGAAACCAATGATAGCCTCTTAGCCAGGACAGATGTTCTATGGAGCAAGTTGTTGAGTCGCAAGCTGACCATGGAACAGCTGCAAGCATACATCATTCTACGTGGATCAGGTCTCAGTCCCGAGGAGAAGAAGAAGGTGATCCTTGACAGCGATCGTGAAAACTCAGGTAACCTTTCGATGCAGCGTGTGACAGAAGCCATTCGCCTTTTAGGTGCAAGTTTCTTTCAAGAAATGACTGGAGTGAAGAAAGGGCCGAAAGGCAAGGTGTATGACCAAAACACTTTGCTTGCCTGTGATGAAGATGATGATGAAACCGCTGAAGCCTCTTATGTAACTCAGGATGAATGGACAGAGGACAATTTCATTGACTCTCTTCGAGAACAAGGTGATGATGATGCCTGCCTCATTGCCGATTTTGAAGAAACTGCAGTGGAAATGTTGCAAGATGATGCCAATCTTGCCACCGCCTACAGTGCTTACCAAGAAGCACGTGCCCGCCTGAGTGAGAAATTCCGCAACAGAGGTTTCTGGCCATCCAGTCGAGGTTCCAACAATGCCACCAAGGGTAAGGGATCATCCTTCAACCAGAAGGGTAGTAGCAAGGGAAAGCGAGTTCAGCCAAGACGCAGCCTGCAGGACAGAATCATGTCCTCGAATTGCCGTGCCTGCGGCAGACGTGGTCACTGGAAAGCTGAATGCCCGTACAGAACTGGATCAAATCGATCAGTTGGTTCATCAGCCGCCAGCACTGCACCCACCACCACCGTGGTGACGGAGGGGAATGCCGTTGCTGCCAGTCAGAGTTTGCCCATGGAGTTCATGCAGCTGCCCGAAGTGAATGAGTCCGCCATTGATGAGGACGCCAGTGCCATGACAAAGGGTCGGATGACTGATGTTTTTTTTGTTGTAGGACTTGGGAAACATAGCCATCGTAGTACTCAGGGGAATCATAATGATTCGGGTAGGACTACTAGCTATGGGGGGAACCTAAGCCTTAGTGCCCGTGAGAGACTCCTGGCCCGAATCACCAGGAGTGAGTCGCCATGCATCCGGCCCAAGAGTGAGAGAACAGAGTTAGGATCCGTAGAAGCCAGCCGAGACAGAACCGTCTGTCCGGCACCACTGTCAGTTCCAGCACAGAAAAACCAGGTATTTCAGATACAATCAATCTGTCTGCAGCCGTGCTTTTTGCCACACATAGCTCCCTCGGAGTGCTGGATCTGGGGGCAACCAAGACGGTCATAGGCAGTGAACATGTGTCTGATTTAATTCACGGTCTGCAGCCAAGCACTCGCCAGAAGTTGTATCGGTGTTCATGTGAAATCACTTTCAGGTTTGGAAACCAAGGAACATTGACCAGTTCCCAGGCATTGGTAGTACCTGTAGGGGATTTTCACCTCAAAGTTGCAATTGTCCCCGGGAGCACACCGTTCTTAATCAGTAACACCATGATGCAAGCGCTTCAGGCCAACATCGATTGCCACAACCAGAGACTGTCAAGCCCATGGTTCAAGAATCCAGTGCCACTTCAGTTGACCAACAAAGGACTCTTTCTCGTTGATTTGAATGACATGATTCAAGCGGCTACCAATCCAAAGTCCTCCAAAGTGTCTGCGAAGACCGGCACTTGTCATGAGACTTTTGCATCCGAGGACGGTGTAAACAAGCAGCCGCCGATGTCAGCCAAAGCAAGTGTGTGTCATGAAAAATCAACACCACAACATGAAGGGTCAGGTGATGAAATCAAGAAAATCAAAGGGTCACGGAAAGTTAGCCAGTTGATTCAAACATGGGAAGCAAAGGGAAAATCAGGTGAACTGTCAGGGAACTTGGCTCAGAACGACCCATCACCAGGAAACAGATCCTGTGAACGCACCGAGTCTTGCAGTCATGTCGATGAGCCAGCGTTTGAGCAAGCTGTACCAGGAAGTGACCGTGAAAGGGGAGGACCTGTCACACCTCACACTGGAGGAGCTCTCAGCCGAGAAGATCAAGTTTGGGGAGAAACATCAAGGAGCCACCATGGAACATGTCTGGCGAACCGACCCCGAATGGATCCGGTTCATGGTGAATCGATACGAAACCAGTGTCAAGCCAGAACATCAACGTCTCATGAAGTTCGTGGAATTGAAACTGAAATATCACGAGGAGAATCAGCTCCCAGTGAGAGTTCCCAAGGCCAAGAGCACGGCAGCTCCAATGACCAGCCGCCGTCAGCCCAAGTGCAAGGCAGCGCCTCGCACTCCAATCGAGGTGGACGAGGCCGAGATCTCAGACCTCCAACTCATCGAGAGCGATGCCACATGGGAAAACATGTCACATATCGAGATGTCCAACCCGGAGACTATGCCCCTGACGGATCTGAACCAGCAGCATGCGGAGGAGTTTCAAGCTCTGCAGACGCGCATGCTCAATATGGAGAATGCCCTGAGCCGAGTGATCCGACACTTGGAGGATCAGGCGAACGACTCCATCCAGGAGAATTGATGTGTCAAGATGAAGATCAGGTGTATCTGACCATGAATGCTGACATGAAAAAGTTTCACAGATTGGTTCAGCAATTTCAAGAAGAATTAGATGTTCAAGTTGCCACCATGTCACCAATGGGTACCCGCATAACCCTGGCTGAAGTGTTTTGCAGTGATGAATCCCCCTTGACACATCAAGTAAAGGCCCAGGGCGGCAGCTGTTTTCGATTTGGATTGTCGCAAGGAGATCTTGCGCAGGCAGATGGCCGTGCCAAATTGTTTAAGCAGCTAGCAGTGCGTCGTCCCCGAAACATTTGGTATAGCCCAGACTGCGGACCTTGGTCATCATGGTCGTATCTCAATTCCTCGAAGTCCATGGAATCCCAGGAAAAATACCAGGAGTTAAGACATAACCTGATGTATCAACTTGCCCTCGGAATTGTGCTGTTTCGCCACCAGGTGTCTCAAGGAATGCACTTCCACTGGGAACAACCGGCCAGATCCCTCATGCTGCAATTTCCAGGAATGGCCGAAGTGTATCAGTATACGCAGACATGCCAATTTGACATGTGCAATGCTGGAGACCTCAAGGATCCATCAAATGGAATGCCAATGAAAAAGGGGATGAATGTAGTTACTACTTCAAAGACAATATACCTATTACTACATGGGAGAGTTTGTCGGGGTAACCATTCTCACCAATCAATAGCAGGGTCTTTCACAACACCTCAAGGAACAGTTTTGCGCAGTCGATACACCGAAGTGTATCCCCGAAAGTTTGCAAGAGAGGTAGCCAGAGCCATGATGCACAACCACCGTGACAGGCCGTTCAATTGGCAAGTAGCCTTTTCCCACATGTGTCAAGAGACTGATGCCGAAATCCATGTTCTTACCAAGTTCCGACAGAAAACCAAGTTTGTCAGATCCGAATTGATCACACCATCCTCCAGGGATGACCATGTCAAACGTCGACGTTTGGGAAAACAAAGCGAGGACCACCACCTAGAAGATTATCAGAACCTCATGACCGAAATCAATCAGATCATTCCCAGGGTTGGTAAGAGTGTTATACAAGAACCTAATATCTTGGAGAAACTTCAGCAAATGTTTCATGACCAAAAGATCATTCATGTGATTGCCTGTCGAGGAACCGACCGAACCCTAGGTCCACCAAAGGGGATGCATCCAGAGGAAGCACCTCTCCGGAAAAGTTTTATCCTTGAAAGGGGAACAGGAACAATCAAGTATGAAAAGGACTGGGAAAAATGGGTTCACCTTGCCAACCGCCAGTTGATTCGACCAGCACATGCCTGTCGAATCAATGTCACGATGTTCGCAAAGCCCTGGCCTGTTGAAAATGACTCGAGCCAAAGTTCCCAAGGTGTGAATCCTATGCCTCCAATGCCTGAGCCAGCAAGTGAGCAGCCAGCACCAAGTCAGACGGAATCAGGTCATGCAGATCCCGTGACAGCAACGCCGCTCACCAGTGATAATGTTCCCATTTCCCAAGAAGCTGAAGTACCAGAAAATAATCCTGAGGGAATCCAAGATAACAACAGTAGTCCCACGAGTACTTCTCATGCGGATAATAGGACACATGCAGTAATGTCAGGGGAAAGACCTATCCGACAGACAGGTCCCAATTTCAGAGCTCTTCCAAGGTGGGAACAACGCATGATTATCCAGATGCACAAGAACCTTGGTCACCCTTCCAATGACCGACTGTCACGAGCACTGCAAGTAGCCGGATATCGACCTGAAATTGTTCATGCGTCGCAAGAGCTCGAATGTTCAACATGTTCAGCATGTAGTCCACCAAAACACCAGAGACCAGCTATTTTGAAACCAATACGGGAATTCAACTCACGTATCTATGTAGATGGGGTAAAGTGGACAAACTCTCAGGGCCAATCCTTTCACTTTTACCATATCATAGATGCCGGTTCAAATTTTCATGTTGCAATCACATCACCCTCCAGAGAAACAGAACATGTGATCCAACTTCTCACGCGCCATTGGATTAGCTGGGCAGGACCTCCCAATGAAATCATGGTGGATTCGGGAACCGAGTTGAACAGCGAACAGTTTGCCGCTTTCCTGCAACGATTCAACATCAAAGGAGAGACAACCTGTCCTGGAGCTCACTGGCAAAATGGCAAAATAGAAAGGCATGGGCAATTTCTCCAGGCGATGCTCACTCGGATGGACACTGAAAGCCACATCACGTCATATGAAGAGTTGCAACTAGCTCTGAGCCAGTGTACTCATGCAAAGAATTGTCTCAGTGTACACCATGGTTATGCTCCCGAGGTAATTGTGTTTGGTCGACACTCTAGAGTGCCAGGGTCAGTGATGTCAGATGAATCATTGCCGTCCCACTCCCAAGTAACTCAAGAAGATGATACCATCACCCCAAACATGTTCCGAGAGATGTTGCAAGTCCGAGAGAGAGCTAGAAGAGCCTATCATGCAGCCGACAACTGTGATGCCCTGCGACGAGCGATGCTTCGCCGGCCATGCCCACAGAGAGGGGTCTTCCAAAAGGGTCAATGGGTAATGATATGGCAACATAACCCTAATAGTAACCCCCAATGGATAGGACCACAAAGGGTAGTACTTCAGGATGACAATCACACAGTGTGGACCACCCAATGTGGTCGATTGTACCGTCGTGCACCAGAACATGTCCAAGGTGCCCTCTCCGAAGAAGGGACACCTGGCCCTGACACAGAAATTCAATGGACCAATTTGGAACAACAAATACATAACATGTCAAGGAATTTCACAAATAACAATCAAGATGAACTTCCAATACCATATCATGAAAATAATCCCGAACACTTGAATGAGGAGACAGCCTCTGGAAGAGAAGAACCTGATGAAGTTCCAGATAGAATGGTCTCTCATGAATCCATATCACAACCCGAGTCAGAGCAGGAGAACAGCAATGAACTCCCAGAATCCGATGCAACATCAGACACCATGTACCTGATCAGTGAAGACCCTGCCGATAGCCTGGTAGTCTCAGCCGACTGTCCATTAGCGTGGCGTTGCGAAGTCGATGTCAAGCTAGATAGACCACTAGAACAACGGCAACCGACCAATGAAGAAGCATGGACGTTTCTGGCGACCAGTGCCAAGAAACAAAGGTCAGAAATTCGGTTGTCAGAGCTGAGTCCATCAGAGCGCAAGGAATTTGATCAGGCCAAAGACAAAGAAATTCTGGATTCAAACAGGAACACTAACCAAAGTGTTTCGCCATGAAATTCCCCAAGAGCAAATTCTCAAATGCCGATGGATTTTAACTTGGAAACCCTTGGATAATGTAGATCAACCTGAAGCCGCTTCCACCAACAATCCATCCAGCCGGACCCACAAGGCAAAGGCAAGGTTGGTGGTATTGGGATATTTAGACCCGAAAATAGAGGAAATTCCCAGGGATAGTCCAACTCTTAATAAGACCTCAAGAATGATGATTTTCCAAACGGTTTCATCCTTCGGATGGACACTCCAATCCTTCGACATTAAAGCTGCTTTCCTACAAGGACAACCTCAGTCTGATCGAATAACAGCAATTGATCCAGTTCCGGAAATGAGAAGAGCACTCAACATGCTGCCAAGCGAAGTGGGCAAACTCAATAAAAGTGCATACGGATTGATCGATGCTCCTTATTTATGGTATTGTTCACTTGTGAGCGAACTTCAAAAATTGAACTTTGAAGCTTGTCCGTTTGACCCCTGTGTGTTTGTACTTCGCGAGAAGGATGGATCTTTAGCTGGAGTTCTTGGAATCCATGTAGATGACGGGGTAGGAGGGGGAAATTCCTATTACCAACAACAGGTCGACAAACTAGAACAGAAATATGCCTTTGGATCAAAGAAGAGTACCGCATTCACCTTCACAGGCATTGAAATCACTCAACAACCTGACAACAGCATTCACCTTTCACAAGCCAATTACATTAAACAGATCAAGCCCATTAACATTCCCAGTGACCGGAAACTACAACCTGATCAAAATGTTACTGAACCAGAACGACTTGCCCTAAGGGGAGTGATCGGTAGCCTCCAGTATGCCGCAGTCAACACCCGTCCGGACATTGCCAGTAAACTTTCCTTTTTGCAATCTTCCATTAACAGTGCCAAAGTTGAAAATCTCCAAGAAGCCAACAAATTACTCCATGAAGCAAAGAAACATCATCATGTCAATATTGTCATTAAACCTATTGCACCAAAAGATTTCCGACTGATGGCTTTCTCAGATGCATCATTCTCATCCCATAAGAAACCGGATTCTCATGCAGGGGTAATCATAGTGGGTACCCATAAGAATATATCAAAGAATCATCAATGTCCAATTAGTCCGTTGTCATGGGGTTGCCGGAAAATCCAGCGTGTGGTGACTAGCACCCTGTCCGCCGAAACCACCGCGATGGCAGCAGCTCTTGACCAATTAGCATGGCTTAGATTGTTCTGGGCATGGCTGATGGACCCCAATGTGCAGTGGCGACGACCCGAAGAAGCGTTGTCCAAGCTTGAACCAGCCATCTCAGCACCAACAATTCAGGAACAATGTGATCTAGCCATCACTGATTGCAAGTCATTGTTCGGTTTAATCAACCGAACAGCGCCTCCTTCTTGTTCAGAATTCCGGGTGTCCTTAGTAGCTCGAGCAATCAAGGAGGCCATCAAAGAAGGTATTCAAGTTCGATGGGTACATAGTGGAGCCCAACTTGCAGATGCCCTCACAAAATCAATGGAAGCAAGTTTTCTTCGTGAAACCCTAAAAATGGGGGTATACCGGTTATGTGATGAGGACGCATTGCTGAAAGAACGAGCAAAATCCAAGGACAGAATCAAGTGGTTGAACCAATCCAAAGAAGCAACAGATACTTGAGATATAACCTTTCAATGCCACCAGTCACTTTCACCTTTAATTTTCCCAAAAGAAAAACAGAAAATTTTTAACGAGTGTGAATTCCACCAAATCTTGCAGTCCACATGTCACGTTCCCTCCAAGCGCCAGTGTATCTCAGGTGAAACCAATCAATGTCCTTTAGATTTCGGCTTAGGCGAGCCACTGTTGGCGGGAGGGAAAGGGTTCCATCTTGAGCCATAGGTGACCGGGTTCACCTACATTTGCTTGAGGGGCGAGGCCGCCCGACCTGGCATTTGCAGCTGCATCCGTTTCGAAGTGTGTTCTGCTTCGCCGACAGGGTGTTCGGCTACGCCGGCACCTGGACTTCTCAGTTTTGGCGACAAAAGAAGTAGACTGCCTGCTGTGTGAGCTTTAGAGAGGGTTCCATCTGGATTACATAACAGTATCAGTGAATCACTCTGGAAGGGGCTTTTCAATACAGACGATCTACACCAATCATCAGGGTCAGCAGGGCTTCTACCAATTGCTCCACTTGCAATACATATATATATATATATTGCAAATTCACCGTTATCAACCCCAATTATTGAAGCTATACCGAAACCAACTTACAATACGTTCATTTCAAGCCCTACGGCTGTAGCTCCTTGGCTCGCCAAGGTACGGGTTCAGCAAGTCTGTGAGGATGGCGTTCCTACGCTGCACCTGCTGTGATTTTCATCCCACCATTTTAGTATTTTTAGTGGTGCCAAAATTGGTATACCCTCAGCCTTTGGTAATTTAACGCTTTGCTCTGGCATATAGTAATACATGGCCCATTTAGTTGGATGATTTACATATTGAAAGTGGGAAAGTGGTGGTGTGCAATAGAAAACTGTCAAATTACTAGAGGGTGGTAGCTGACCAAAAATGGGGATATCACTGATACAAGTCGCAAAAATGCCAGAAATTTGGCATCAACAACAGTACTGTAGATCAACCAATCAAAACATGGGGGTATAAAGGTTAGGAACTGATTAGTAAACAAGGCTATGTAAAACATGTAGGAACAGACCGTCTTTGCGAGGATACTTCTTGGATTTGGGAAGCTGTAATATGCTGTAATATTTGATCATAACATGACGTAGCCATCTAGTTGTGTTTTTTGATGTGACTAAAGCATACCAATTAAAGCGATTCAAGTGGAGGGTCGGATGGTTACAGCCTCTCTTTCATACAATGTGTTTCTTCAGGGGAGCGTCCAAGAGCATCACTCATCAAGGGCGCCTGTTGAATGCTATGCAAAACCAAATCTTTCCAAGTGGAACTCACCTGCGGAATCCGTCGCCGATCGACGCCTTATGCAGCCGACCTCTGTGAGACGATGATGTTGACAAGTCCCAGCGCTGCCAAACATGACCAGCTGATTTTATATAGACTCTGCTAAACAATCCCTTCAAAAGTGTTAGATGTCATGTCATAGCCACCAAGCCAAACGTCACTCATTCATTTTGAGATGGTATATTTAAAAAATAACGAACTCTTCATAAATCATGCACCGGGTTGGTTTACCCAGCCATTTTGGGATCGGCAACGGGTTTCTGTGGGCGGAGGAACTGTCTTCAGTTGTTTCTTCTTGAGCAGCGTCCAAGTCCAGTACAGCGGGCATTGTCAACAATGTGCCTATATCTGGCCAACCTTGCTGAGGCACCAGCTTCAAGACTCAATCATCTGTGAAAAACAAAGGTCCACCGATACGGAGATGGGCACAAAGCGCTTGGATGTTGACATGCGTTGGGTGACGTTTTTGGGTCAGCAACCACAAAATTACCAGAAGATACCAGAGGTGGTAGCGAGTTCATCTGAGCTGGAGTTTTTGAGGTGGATCTCTTTATTACCAGATTCAGCCGGCTCTTTTTTTCCCTTGAGACACCCCAAGAAAAAAGGGCCATCATCTCTGGGTTCTACCTCTTTTGGCTGGCAAAACCGCTCTGCTGGCATCGGTCTGCAAGGTCAGCTATGTCATGTGTGGCCAAGAACCTCCTTAGGAGGCCATGCCTTTGAAAATTTGGTTCCAGTCACCAGGAACCACCCCTCCTTGGTGGGAATCTGGCTACCTGAGCCACAGTTAGTCAAGTGCCTTCAAACCTGCGGATTGCCGAGACTTCGATGTAGAACCAACGAATAAGCCTTAAAAATAAAATTACAGCTGCAAGAGACCCCAAACGGTGTGGGGAGGTAGGAAGCCGATGTACCAGAAACAAGCAACAGTAGCTATGGAGCAGTAACAGAGGAGGCTAGACATGATTGCAACTGCAGCAGCAGGACCTTCTATATAGATCTATTTGGAGGAGCTCACAAAATCTTCATACAAGAACTTCCTATGAGCATCCCAAAACTTTCATACAAGCACCAACCCAGAGGATCTTCAAGGTCTTAATGCCAGGACCTCCTGAGGAGGATTCACCAAACAAGATCTTGGTACAAGAACCTCCCAAGAGCCTCATACAAGCACCTCAAAGACCTCATGCAAGGACCTCCTAGGTCCTAGAGAGGATCTCCACAAGGTCTTCTGTTGAGAGCGTGCACGGGATCATGCAAGGACCTCTTAGAAGGGGATTTAGCAGGATCTCCACAAGAGGTTTATGCCAGAACTTAGAAGGAAAATGCCGCGGGCCCAGAGCTTGAAAGCCCTGCCGCAGATTTTGCGTGAGCCTGCGCAATCGAAATTCGCATGGACACGTCACAAGAGCCATTCTATGCAAGAATTTACAGGAGAAATGCCGTGCCCCAAAATCGCACCACACAAACTGGAGCCTGCGCAGTCAAAATAGACATGGACATCTCACAATAACCATTTTATGCCAGAATTTACACGAAAAATGTCGCGTCCCAACATCACGCGGCGGACTTTGTGCGAGCCTGCGCAGTCAAAATGCACATGGACATCTTCCAAGAGCCATTTTATGCTAAGGGGAAAAAACATGAAAAAACGGGATCAAAGAGCGTACCCGGATCTACCGTCGGCCTTAACACTTTCCGTAAGAACCCCTCAGTGCGGACACACTGTTTGGGGAAAAAGGAACTACCCCGTCCCATTTTACTGGTCGGGCACGAGGCATCCCTGCTATGGGTGAAACAAATACAGCAACAATCAGCCAGGCAGCAGTATGACCCCCTACAGTAGCCAACCAACAACGCTGTTTGTATTGGCGCAATGGCCTTCCCTCTCGCCAATGTGGCAAACGCAATGGTAAACATGTACAAGCCATATCCAATTTTCCAATTTGGATCCCTTTGGATGTTGACATCTCTTGGGTTTAATGAATGGATTGGCTTCATTAATGAAAGTTTGCAGGAAATTTGCTTTTAACTAACCATATTTTTTTCCGGGGTGTCCTGTAAAGCTTTCAGTCAGGGATTGGGGTGGGATTAGGTTGTGTCTGAAAATGCCCTACGACACCCCAAAGAAAAAGTCAGAAAAAATTCTGATTTTTCGCCGCAGACAGATTTAGAGGCACTTCCTGTTTCCCGTAGCAATCCATTGAAATTTCCTCTAAAACCTTGAGAACTTGGGCCTCACGGTGGCAGCACCTTGTGGTGGCATGCGCGGAGACCCAAGGCTTCAAGGGTGGTCGTTCAGCCAATGGCTTGATGGATTTTACCCCCCGGCTATAGGATGTTCAATTGCCACGTTCGATTACTAACGGGTAAGCCGGTAAGCCAAAAAATAAAGCGTCATTCTTGCGGGGGTCACCTTTGGACTTGGCTGAACTGTTCATGATAGTTCAGGACATGGAACCGTAAGACCCCTGGCCTTTTCGAAAGGAAAAGATGTCAGGCCAACTTGTGGATTCATCATATCATATCGTATCCACACCGCCGATCTCATATCAACCAACCAAAATCTTCAAGAGGGGGCCGGTAGCAACCTATTGAAACTGCACATAAACTACCAGAAACTGTCAAAAAAGAACATGACTCCAAAAACTTTTAAAGATAAATGGAACATGGCTCTCAAATATGTTCAAATCCATCACATGACTGAAAAAAATCTTTGGAATCAGGATTGCCCCGAGCCTCAGGTGCAGGAGCCCGGCAAATCTGGAGCCTGGCCGTGCACCCTATTTCAAACCCATTCTGAATCACCATTGGTCCATTGGTTATTTCATGGCAATCACCCACCAATTACCCGCTGGGAAACCATGGGAAACCCAGACCGCTCCTGGGAGACGACGAGTCTTGGCACCGTGATCGACTGAATGGACGGTTTCTTGTGGAATCCCGCGGCGCTCTCCCGCAGACTCGGCAAACACCGGACGAGTTACAGCACAATGGAGGCATCAGAAATGGGATCGTAAGAAATGCTGGTAGTTGTTCGAATGTATCTTTAAGCTTGTTTGATGTATGTGTATTTTGGGGCGGGTATCTGTGAGATGGCTTTAGAAATCATGGTTTGTGCAAGCAACAACCATGAAGTCAACAAATAACAAAAAAACACATGCTAGGAGTGGGGACTGCTCCTCCCAACACCAAAAATCACAGACCTCCCATTTCTATTGGCCGTGCACTACCCCTGAAAAATGATCAAAACCATGATGAACCAAAAAGCTAACCAGCCATTCATATTACAATATTATAGTTATAATTTATGTATATATATATATATCTGTGTGTGTGCTATGTGTGTACAGATGTAGACATAGCTATCTCTCATCCACCCGGTTTTTCCAGGCGACATCTCCAGGCTGTCATTGGAGAAGGTCTTCTCCAGCGTCAGTTCCCCTGGATCCTCGTCGCCCATACTCTCAACCTCCATGGCAGCCATGGCATCCTGCACCGTGTCCAGCCGTGAATGGAGAACCATGGGACCTTTGGATTCCTTGGAGAAACTGGCGAAATTCTTGATCAACCAGCAAGAATCGGGACCCACGATGCTATCATCTTCCAACCTTCAATATCCTAAAATATCATGAATCATGAATATTCTGAATACCTGAGAAATCCGCAGCAATCCCATGCATGGCATCCCACCCGTCGCTCCTGCTCCAGCCCTTCCCCAGCGGCCATGGTCGCCGGTGCGCTCTCCGTGCCAGCGCCTCCGCCAGGGCCGCGCGAATCGCGAGAGCCGCGGCGGCTGCGGTGGCCGAAAGGCCCCGAGACGCTCGGAGGCATCTGATCGTGGCAGCCCAGCTTGGTCATCAGGATCCCCAGCCTGGAGATCGGAGCTGGGCAGGTTTTAGGGGGATCTCCAGATGATTCAAGCAGTTAACTTAGTTATTACATGTTATTACTAGCATTAACAATTATAATTGTTGCTGTTATTGTATTATCTGTGTGATCTGCATGGATGGATGGATGGATGGATGGATGGATGGATGGATGGGGGGGGGGTGGATGGGTCGATAGGTAGATAGGTCGATAGGTAGATAGGTAGATAGGTAGGTAGATAGATAGATAGATAAGATAGATAGATAGTCATGGTTATGTAAGTAGGCAACTGGTGGCTTGGAGGGGTGGGTTCAAGGGAACACCGTTCTGGTACATTGCAAGCGATGTCCCCTTTGGAAAAGATGAACTGAGAGGCCACAATGACCAGTCAACTGGCGGTTGGAGTTGGTTTGAGGGAAGCGTACTTTAAAGCGACATCCCCTGATCGACTTGATCGACTTCCATAATTAATGGCCGTCAGCAATTCATCATGAATCAATTAAAAACTGATTCAACTCAACTTGATGTGGTCAATCAATCTATTAAGCCACCAGCTGAAAATGAAACGTCTATGCTTGGGAAATCCGGGTGCAGCTGGGGAAGCTGAGGGACTGAACACTTAAACCACCAACCCAATCCCACCAAAAGTGGCCACTTTTTGGCCTATGGTTCAAAAATGCATCCAAGTGCCATTTTAAGTGGGACAACCTAAAAGTAATGTTTTCAAGACATGTTTGAACATGTCTTGGGACAGAACTTGCTTTCGCTCGGATAAGTCATGGGACAGCACTCACCCCAGCGGCCCAGCCCAGTGGCATTACAGCATTCCTCTCTAACATCGCCGAGTGCTGGTCCAGGTATTGCCTGGGGAGGCTCCAAGATCTCCCTGGGAAAACCCAGCTGGATTTCCGATGCGTTTTTTTCGATGTTTCCTGGAGGGTCATCCAAAAAATCCCGTCCCCATGCTCGCCATGTTGGGATGAAGAAAATGGGCAAGGCACTCCACTTTGTTGACCCGTCTCGAAATGTTGGCCACCTGGGTTGGCACCATGGATTCCATTGGTTTCTTGACATGGACACCATGCTTCAGTTCAAGTTTGTTGATTGAAAATTAAGCGAGGGAAACTTCACATAGTGTGTCCTTCAATGAACACCATTAAGCTTCACATATGGGACTCTAACCATCTTTAACCACATTATTAATATGACTTAATAGTGTCCCCTATGACTTTAACCGTCTTTAATTTGGAATAGTGTGCTGGTCACCTGGTCCTGCAGGATCCGGCAGGGCTCAGATCATGGCTTCTTGAAGTGTGTCTCAAAGACTGGTCGGGCCATCAAGTAATTTGCTGGTTCTAAACGATATAATATCAACGATATCAATGCAAAAGTGCCAATAGAAAGGATACTTCATAAAAACAGAAGTTCAATGAGAGTCACACAATTTGGCACTCCTGAAGGGGGAAAAAAGTTTTACCCTCTGGTAAACTAACTTAACTATGGAAAATAACCATGTTTAATGGGAAAAACCACTATAAATGGCAATTTTCAATAGCTATGTTAGTGTACCAGAGGGTAAAACTGTTAAAACCTCAGTTTCCCTTTTCCAGATCAACCGAGCTCCACACTCCCAGCTGCATGGTCTTCATGTCCTCAGGAACGGGGTTCCCGTAAAGTGCCCAAAAAAAAAAAACATCACATCATTTCACCAGCGATTCAACGAAGAAAACTAGGGATTTCACCATGAATTTTGACCTAATGGGATGTGGTGACTCGACTCGAGTCGATTGGGGCTTCGAATTCACCTCCTTTCGGATTCGGCCGATGGGAAAAATGATGATCTTCCCCCGGATTCGGCCGCAGACAAAGTGGGGCCAACTTTGTAGCTAAGTTGGATATTAAAAAAAAACACCAATAACTATGGGTTTATTGTACTTATAACTACAGTTAATGGTAATATACCCTTATCTTATAACATCTTATAACTGATATAACATCTTATAACTGTAGTTATATATATATTATTATAAATATATATATATATAAGTGGCTGTACCAACTTATATTACTGGGGCCCTGCACATTGTCCCGTTTTGGCTGATCCAAAACGGTGATCCCCCGGACGCCCTGCCAGTAAGCTCGGCACCAGCTGCGTGGGAGGACCTTTCACTCTCAAGACGCCTGCGGCAGTGGCGTCGTTTGTAGATCTTTGTGCCCCAATGTTCGGATTTTTCTGGGAAATCAATCAGTCAATGAATCAATGAATCAATGAATGAATCACAAATCAATCAATCAATCAATCAACCAATCATGACAAACTGATAAACAGCTGATAAACCACTGGATCACAGTGGGGTAAGCTATTTTAGGTTACAACCCGAAGACGTCCAGGCCCTTCAGGGACGGGTTGCAGAGGATGAAACCCTCCATCCACCGTGCCTTGTGCAAAGCTTGGAAAACTCAAGGAGTCGGTTCCCTGGCTTCCACTGGAAATGGGGAAACCTCTTCACAACCCAGGCTTTTTGTTGTGACTGGTCTTGGGAAAAAATTGAGGGATCGCTACCATTTTGTCATCTACCAAGCAGCTGTCCAATTCCACCCATCATCTACGTTACTCATCACGCAGTAGGGGAAAAAACATCTATTCCAATGTCTCCAATACGAAGTTCCTCATGACGTTGTCAACATGAATATAGATCCAATACCCCCCTCAAAAAACAAGAGAAAACACACACACCCTCCCCAAAAAACAAAGAAATTGAAAAAAAACATATGGCAGTGTGTCAAAACCTTGTACCCCTGTAGTTCACATCAAAATAGCTGGGATTTATGGATGTTCATCCCACTAAAAATGGTATTTTTATAGGTATTGATCCATACCCATATGGTTTTGATTGGGAGGGCCCAGGTTCCCTAATTTTCAGCAGTCCATGGAGTCCAAGGGGCTGAGGGGTCCAGGATTTCGAACAACATCCCTGGATCCTCCACTGGCACTTCCATGCCTGAGCTCAACATCTGGTGCTCCAAAATCGCATGGTGTTCCCAATGGTTCCCATAGGTTCCCAGTTACCATCCCAGCATATTATTCCATGTGCATACCCTCTGGCAATTTAACATAGCTATTGAAAATGACCGTATATAGTGGATTTTCCCATTAAAAATGATGATTTTCCATAGTTATGTTAGTTTACCAGAGGGTATTATACATCATCCACTTCCCGTCCCCAGCCGGCCCAAATTCTCCAAGCTCCTAGATTTCCACAAAAACGACCAGGCGACGCGTCAGGGTCTGCTGCACCGTGGGGTCGCTCAAAATATCCACAAACTCTGAGCGTTCTAAGGTTCCACTTCCATCCTCGGCTGAAACAATGGCTAGCTGGTAAGCCTGGTAAGGGGAATTGAGGCAAATGTTCAACCCATGATTCAGAAATCTTGAGCAACTAAGGAACTAAGTAACTAAGTTGATGAGCGTTGAAGATAGCTACAACTTGGATGGGTTTATAAACCAATGGCTTGGGGATCCATCTACCAGCGGTAGAAGCGGGTGAGATCACACAGAGTCAACTCAGTGGCTCTGAAGGGCCCAGCATGCAGCATGCAGCGTAACATGGATGCCTCAAAATGCTTCAGCCAAACAAGGTTCCTTACATTTCATATCATATCATCATATTTCATTTATTAACATCACCCCTTCGAACCTTTCGAAGAGTGGTGCTCAACACTACCCTTCAACAATCATCCCAAAGTGATACCCTCTTTGGTAATTCATTTATAAACATCATTTAACACTTAGCTATAGAAATCATCCCAAAGTGATACCCTCTGGTAATGAAAACTTGAGCACCTAGCTATGGTACCTATAGATTCTATGGCTCACCAAGGAATCTCCCCCTTTTTGGGACCCATGGACCGGAGGGCCAAGGCAGTCGGCATCCAGTCGGCATCCAAGGCTCTGAGTCCGCCTCTTCAAAGAGGCGTCGGATGCTTTCCAGTTCCTGCGGCGAATCACGATGAAGCGGGATGAAGCGGCTGAAGTTCCTGGTGATGTGCTGAAAAAAAATAGTGTTTTTACTTATATGTATACATATATATATGTATATGTATATATGTATATGTATATGTATATGCATATGTATATGTATATGTATATGTATGTAATATATATATATATAATAAGAGGATAGGATACTATAGGGTATTTCAATGCATGTGGATATGTCACTGGTTGTTTGACCAACTACATCCAATTTCCGATCCATCGTACCCTCAGGGACCATCCAAGTTGAAAGCATGGCCACAATTTTGAGAAACATAGGCACCCATATGCCCATATTCCACACATAGTATATTATAACTAACTATAAGGAAGAAAAAAAACATCTAGGATGTGATTCCCCCAGAAATGCCAGGCTTCAAACTGTTGAACCTATCTTTTGGGCTTTGCGAAAACATTATTATCCAGTTCCTGCGACGCATCGCGCCTGTCGCAGTTGCCGCTGCAAGCGCCGCTCCTGTGGAATTGAACGAATTGAACCAACCAAAATTGGATGATTTTCGCAAGAGAAATGGGGATGAACCGCATTCAACAAATTTAACCATCGATTTTTCTAAACAGAATTGAAATTTATAGATTTACCCTCTACAATGCTGGCCATCGGTAATTCCCATATCAAATTACCAAATCCGGAATGGGCCATGGGCTGCGGGGCCTGCAACTCCTGGTTCTGCTTCGCTGCATTCAGGGTGTTCTCAACGATGACCTGGTGGAGCCACTTCGGCAAAGTAGATACGGAGGTCAAATGATGAGTTTTGCCCCCTTGTGGCTATCATTTACCAGTGGATTGAAGCAATTCTGTCCTTGGTTGATGTTTCGTTAGTCAGGTTATTTGCCCATCTTTGAACCCCCACCCTGGTGAAGCAGTGGGTTCTAAGCTGGTCCACCGGAGCCAAGCAACGCCAACGATGATGTTCAAGATGCCAAAGGTGGTCAAGAAGAGAAAAAGCCTTGGCTGTCGGGGATTGGAACTGAAAGGGACTACCAAATGAGGACCATTTTTGAAAATGAGAACATGGATAATGGATACACATCTTTATACCATTTATACCTGTTGGATCCTGTTGGAAATGCATGTTTTAAACTCACTCGGAAAAATAACACCTGGAGTTGGCCCTGTGAATTTTGGTGAATGGATGCCACATGGCCCCGGCCCTGCAGCACAAGCGGCAGGAAGACGATGAAAAAGGCTGGCTGAACTTTCAAAATCGGCCGCGCGAAGACCTGGAAGTCGAGATTCGCCAGGTAATGCTAAATACCCTCTTGGTAGCCTATGGAACATCACCATTTTTAATGGGAAAATCGACTCGACAGCTATGTTAAATTACCAGAGGGTATATGATCCAGTTGTCAACTTTCAGCAAACAAACTCCAATGAGCTAAGTTAACTCACTGGGATGGCCGATGGGCCGAAGCCGTTTCTCGTTTTTTTTTCAACGAAATTGGTACCATAACGATGGAAAAAAACATCCCATGTTCAACAGGAATATGACCTCATATTGATCTCTAAACCCACATATCTAATATCATCTAATCATAGTTTCACACATTTGCACATGTTTGCATCACAAAGATCTCTGAATGGAGCTTCCATACCTGGCATCCCTCCTAGCCTGGCTCCACGATTCCAACCTGAGACAGGGACAGGATGAAACTGGCTCCACTGCCCCTGTTGAAGACATATTTCTGCCTTGTGAACGGATTTCCTGGAAATTCTATGGATCTGTTGTATCATCTTGTTTCAGTTGATGTCTTGGATGTACTGCCTGCAGCAGGTTGGTGTTTTCCAGCACCTCTGCACGTAAACATAAGCTCTTGTTTTGCCTGAAAAAAATAGGAACAAGACACAGTGATCAGTTTTCGATCGTTTTGGGATATCCATGGATATCTATAATGTTCTGCGACATGCGTTTTCACGGAAGAGACTTACACAGACAATTACGGCGTAGATCTTGCGCCGGCTCCATGCCAAGGCACGTGATGACTTGGAACAGGGTGTACATCCTGGGCCGATTCTGGGTTGGTTTTCCTGCCATATTGATGGCAGCCTTCTACGTCGACATCATCGCTTTTTTGTGCAGCCAAATGACGCTGCCGGCATACTCCCGAAGTACTCCGCACAATCCTAGGGCAGCCACGGATGTTGCTGGTGTCAACCCTGGAATCAGAAACCCCAAGTGGTTTGTCACAGTAAGGGGAACACCTCAAAGAAGTCATCAGTTGGCTTTCAACCAAAGGATTCAAAAATTCAAAGGTCCTCAATTTACCCTAACAATCCCAAGCATGTTCTTCGAACGTGACTTTGCAGGTCAAGAAATCTTGGACCAACCAACTCGTCGAGAAATGCTCGAGTTCAACTTGTCAGGTGCTTTTTTGGGTATCTATGCTTTATTTACTACAGACATAAAATGATATAAATACATAAAGTGGTATCATATATATATATAGATATATATATATACATAGATATATATATATATATAGAGATATAGAATGATATAGATACAGTGTCGTCTCCGAAATGATGGGACTGACGATCATCCTACTTGCTTCTTCGCCAAAGAGGCGTCCCATTCCCTGAAGGCCCCGAAGCAGTTCAGCGTGTAGCGCAGAAAAATGGCGAACCTAGCGGTTCCAATGGCAGTGAATGGCCCATCAAAGCCACCAAGAAGGAATATCTATGATACTAGTATAGTCTATGATCTGTGATTGTTGAAGGGAAATGATAAATAAATATTCATCTAAAATACAGTATCTAAAATAGTCTAAAATATCTATGATCATCTATGATCTATGTGATTGTTGAAGGGGAATTAATCATGTAATTGGCATGGATCAATGGGATTTTCAGGATCCTAAAATGGAGGTACTGTACCATATAAGACCATATTTTGTTGGGATATTCCCATTGGCATGGATGGGGGATAAAATGAGACCAACATCGGTTTCGGGAACAAGTCGGCTGCAGCCAGGCAGCACGTAGATGACCACCGTTAGAAGCATCAGCACCTCAGCGAGTGCTGACTGTCTGTCGTGACTCCGAAGCATCGAAGAAAGGATGGAAAAGTCTGCTTTCTTAGGTTATGTATGGTTTTGTTATACCATAATGCCATATAAAACATATATATATATATAAATATTGTGTGGCAGTTGCTTTTTTTGAACTTTCCTGATGACATAGGGATCGAGTTTTGGAGAGTATCGGCAAGTCCTTGGTCAATGGCCCTGAATAATTCGGCAAAAAATACCGGGGATTACCGGGGCAACCCCAATCCCACAAACCTTCCGTGCAGGGCTTAGTTTTACAACCCGTTATGGATTCTTCTTGGGTTTCCTAGATTCGACCAAACCTCATCCCTTTCGCTTGGGCCCAGGGACCCAAAACAGCGTGCTTAAAGATTCTCTGAAGCCCACGATGATCAGCCAAAGGTTCTTGAAAAGTTTCCTGAGGGCTCTGGGAGAAGGGCTCTCCACCTAAACAAGGTCTGACTCACACAATCACTGACTATGAGTATGAGACATCGTCAATGGGTTTTTGTATGAAAAAACTGGTTGAAAGTGGCCAGCACAGGGAGGAGCATCCAGCCACTAGCCTACCTTGCCCACAAATGGCACTTATGGCACCCAACTTCCCCAACCCTCGTGGTTTATCATGGTTTATCATCATTTCTCCCCCAAAAAAGGGGGAATAATTTGGAATCAGGCCCCGATTTTTGGACTAAGCCCACATAAAGCAACGGCTTAGGTTGGCTGAACCCAAGAGAGCCGGCTCAAGGGCTCAAGGCACCTTGCACAATGTCCAAGTCTCATCAACCGAATCAGCCGTAGAAGTCGTAACATGCGCAGAATGCGCACCTGAATCTGCCAGTCATCATTGACCCGCTAAACCAGAGATATGCGGAGCTGTGTCCAGTAAACCACAGGGTACTCAGAGATTGCTCAAAACAAAGGGACGCTCATCAACAGCTCAAACCAAAGCACTTCTTTTAAAGAGTGAAGATATTGAAGCTATAGCTAATAGTTTTTGGACATTTCCAGACTCTCTTGGAAGTTCCAAAAAAAAAACTCAGCTCTGGCCCACCCTGTCGCACACCCCCTGTCGCACACTCCGCGACATCCAAGGCGCCATGCGTATGACGGCCAGGCCGCTGACCCCATCGATGAAGAGGAATGGAATAACCCAGGCTTCAGCCACGGCCAGCAGAACCAACGCGAAGTCCAACAACTCGGCAGAGCTGGGGGCCATCTGAATTAAAAAGGATCAACCCCTTCGCGCAACATTTTTACTAGGAGATCTCTGGGGATTGCTGGGAAATGTTGGGCAATGAGAGAATGTGTATCAAACTCTGGGCCCTGGGCCCTTCTCGCTTTGGCCAAGTGGCATTGTAAGCGTTCATGAAGTACTGCCTGTGCCTCAACCGCCGGTTTCAGTGATTTTGAGGGCATTGTGGCTCTAAAACACCCCCCACTTGATACATTCACAATGGGCCCCCAAGACCACCATACCACCATCTGCCTGGGCCTGTAGCTCCACTATTCATGTCGTGGTAAACCCAACGCCATAAACTTACCAATTTCGGATGGTTTTGGCCACCCATGTATGCTAATATTGGGATATATTGGGGACAGTTGATGCTTTAGCTTTTACAAGTACCACATATTATTCATATCATCCACGGTATGTTCCACGCAGCCCTGGATTTTTCCCACGGTCCTCCCTTAGCGGATCACTGCTGGACAAATGGCAGCGTCTTCATCTTGAGCACCATTTCGCTGATCCACAGGATGCAGAAGAAATTCTCCACCACGATCCATCCCACATCACCTGAAACGTTAGTTAAAGTCTGTCTGGAAAGCGGGATCAGTCTGGCATACAATTTAGAATCACTTATCATGTATCTATTTATTATCGTTTACATTTCTGTATATTTATTTATTTACTTATTTTATGTATTTATTTAAACAAGCCATTGATTATAACTTGGATCCGATCCATTGATTGGCATTTATACTTACTATTGGTTGTATCCATTTAACATCATGTGCCTACGGGTTGTGAAGGGGCGTTAATTGAGCCCTCTCCTCTTACCAATCAAACTTGAACAGTTCATGACGTCTGGGCAATTCGCTGCACCTGTCTGTGCCAAATCCACTTCGAAACCCATCAGAACGGCGTTGATGGCTATCATGATGCCGATGAAGGATTCGAATTCCTGACAGCAGCGAGTTCAGATAAGTGATAAGTGCCTATGATTGGATGGAGACAGTGGGATAGGATTCATCAAGAGTTCGTGTTGCTCACTGTTGCATCTGTGTCTATTCATGCAATTATCTGTTCATTAATTGTTCATCTATGTTTCAGTTCACCCCAATCGAATCGGCATCAACTGAAGCCCAAACACTGCCACCAAAAAGGAGTCCCCCAAAGTTCGTACCCTGAAACGACCATGAAAGAGGGAAATAACTGAAATAACCCCTCATAGCACGAGTCTCGTTCGTGGTTCTGTTTCAAAAAGAAGTATAAAAATGTATAAAAATTCCAGCATCCTTTTTGGGTGGGGTCAAAAAGTTGACAGCTGTTGATATCATTTGATATCTATGGATACCCCAAAGGATGACAGCCTTCAAGGCTTTCAAGGCCTTCCCCGGGCCCCTTGCGCTGAGAGGCCGTCCGCTCCACTAAGGGAACCTTTGGGGTTTCCTCCTCTTCGTCCATGACATCGGCCACTCCTGCCATGGATTGACGGCTGGATACGGCTGGTTTTAAACTAACACTTTGCGAAGTGGAAAGATCCACCATTTTAAATAGGTAAATCAACTATAAATTTTAAAGAATGACTATATTGAGGGTAAGTGTTCCTTGAAATAAATTCCGGGAGTCAAGGAAGGTGAACAACAAATTGTCAAATAACAAGTTGCACGCGGGTATGGATTGGCGTATCCCTGAATCTTGATATTTCAAGGATTTGTTGAATCATGTTGAATCATCAAACTGTAATCTGATGTTCTGACTAGCAAACACCGACAATCCTCAAGCAAAGCCTGAAGCCACATGGCTCTCTGATGGGAACATCATTTTTGGCTTCTAAGTACCCCCATTGGCGGAAAATGACTAAAGCATTAAACTCCCCCTCGCTGGCATTGGCCAGTACAGTATATAGAAGTATATCTTGGGCTCGTCGCTTCCCCCGACCCCCATGTCAACTCCACACCATGGACATGTGTTGTTTCCCGGCGGATGTGTTCACACAAGAAGGGCTGGCCCAACTCCACAGCTCATCATCAATCAGTATCTGGGTAAATTACAATAATTCACTAACCTGAAATAAAACCATATTGGGATACTTCCCCTTACTAACCAGTATTCCAGTGAGGTCGCAGTGAGGTCGTTGTAATTTACCCAGATCAGTATGGTTCCGAAAATTGAATCCTCTAGAATCCCACCGGCCCATCAACCTACAGCATCTCAGGTCACGTTATACCCAATACCCTCTGGGCATGTAACCTAGCCAGGGTATAAATTGCCCGTTTAGTTCGATGATGTTCGTTGAAACGATGATTGTACCCAAACTGTGTGTCATTACCATAGGGCAACCATCATTTACCATCAATAAACATAAATAAGCATCATTAACAATTATTAACCATCAATATAGAAATATCGGTAGCCATTATTAACCATCAATAAATATCATTAACCATCAAGCCTGGTCACCCAAGGCCAAGGTCACACCATCCATGGGAAATGGGGACAGATTCGGCTGCCGGCTCCTTGCTCTTCCAGGATTTCTTGGAAATGATCGTCCACCTCCTTTCTGGAGTACGACGTTAGTGCCTGGAAAAAGTGCCCGGTCTGCAGAATTTGGCTCAGCGTTTCAGGTGATGTATGGTGATGCTGAACTTTCCCAAACTCAAATTCAGACTTGAAAATAACGCTCAAGCACCACCGGACTCTTGTGAAGATACGTTTGAGGTCCTTAGTTTGAACAAAAATGGGTGGATTTTTTGGGTCGTTAAATCACCCATTGGAGATCCATTTGGGAATCACATCGGGTCCACCTTAGAGACGCTCGGCTCTCCAGATTTCAGGTCGCGATCACTCTCCTCACTGTGTACCTGGTGGACAACGACAACTTCACCCCAAGCTTAAGCATACGGCATACTTCCTGCAATCAAACGCGGCAATGGAAAAATCCTCTAAAAATGGTGGTCTTATTGGGAAAATCATCTATAAATGGTGGATTTCCAGTTGCTATGTTTGATTACCGGAAGGTTTTCAGATGTGAGTCCAAAATTTCAGAACTTTCCCCAGCCGCCACCGCCCCAAGCGGGGCACAGGTTTGGGCGTCTCCGCCATCGGCTCCGCCGCTACGATGACGGGGCGCAGGGGACGCGAGGAGGCCGCGCTACGGTTGCTGAGGGCTGAGCCGGGCCTCTGCTTCCTGGGGGCCATCGATTTCCAAGACTAAATTAGAAAAAAAGAGAACTGTGGGTTCGGATGGGTCGGGAAAAGGAGGACAACCAAAAAACGGGATGAAACCCGTTTTTCAACAGTTTTTACAAAGCACACGAAATCTAGGCCGGTCTATTCACCATTTTCCCACCCCACATCGGACGCCATCGCCAAGAATCTGTGAAACTAATGGCAGAGAGGCCACCTGAAATTGGTGGATGCTGCCTCTTGAAATTGGCGATGTTTCAATGCCTGAAATTGGATGGCCTAGAATAGTCAGTGAAATCACCATTGTTCTCGATAGTTGCACCATTTGTCCCACAATTCACTCGGCTTCTGGTTGGTTCCACATCTTTTGCTGTAGTTTCCAAGGATATGCCCTACAGCTAGAGGAATTTACGGCGTGCATACGTCACCATAAACAGAGACGGTGAAGATTGTGGTTGGTTAAATTCCCCCTTCATTGTCATCCCCGACGTTTTGTTGGTTAAATCATGTTAAATCATCTGAAATCCCTACTGTGTTTGATGCAAACCAGTTTTGTGGGGTGGTTCAATCCCATCAAAAGCCGATGCATCAAAAGCCGACTCATCTTCCACCTTTGGATGGTTACAACCGTATATAATCGAAAAGAAGTTTAGAAGTCAAACTTCCGACAACATGGACAGATGGAAAAGCAGAGGCGGGAAGAGTCAGAGAAGAGAAGAAAAGAGAAGAGAAAGAGAAAGAGGAAGAGAAAGAGAAAGAGAAAGAGAAAGAGAAAGAGAAAGAGAAAGAGAAAGAGAAAGAGGAAGAGGAAGAGGAAGAGGAAGAGGAAGAGGAAGAGGAAGAGGAAGAGGAAGAGGAAGAGGAAGAGGAAGAGGAAGAGGAAGAGGAAGAGGAAGAGGAAGAGGAAGAGGAAGAGAAGAGAAGAGAAAGAGTCAGAAGAAAGAGTCGGAAGAAAGAGTCGGAAGAAAGAGTCAGAAGAGAGAGTCAGAAGAAAGAGTCAGAAGAAAGAGTCAGAAGAAAGAGTCAGCAGAAAGAAGATGCAGGCGCGCGAAAAAGTAAGAAAGTCGCGAAACACTGCGTTTTTCTAATGATTTGTGGCTCCGGAGAGTCGAAAAGTAGGCTCGCTAAAGCGGCGGGTGCGGAGCCATCTGGCCAAATGAGAGATAAAAAGTTGTACGCCGTTGCGGCGCGAAGCACATTTCCAAGTCAAAATGTACAAAACACCTCCTTATGTTTGGACCACTTTTGGAAGTTGAGATTTCGACAAAGTGAACGCCGTTGTGGCGCGAAGCACGTTTCGAAGTCAAAACGTACAAAACACACCAACGTCGGACCACTTTTGGAAGTGGAGATGTCGAAAAAGTGCACGCCGTTGTGGCGAGAAGCACGTGTCCAAGTCAAAATGCACAGTGCGGGCGGAAAGCGTGGCTGGTTGTGTCGTGCGCCGTCTGCGCCGTCTGCGCCGTCTGCGCCGTCTGCGCCGTCTGCGCCGTCTGCGCCGTCTGCGCCGTCTGCGCCGTCTGCGCCGTTTGCGCCGTCTGCGCCGTTTGCGCCGTCTGCGCCGTCATGCGCCGTGTCACTTTGTGTGGCAGGTGTGGCACGTATATGGCACGTATGGCACTGGGTGGGCTGTGGTGACGCGCTTGGTCTCGGAGGATTGTGTCTCGCTGCGATTTTTGCGCGGTCAGCGGTTTGCCTGGCTTTTGTCGACATGGAGGAAATATAGATAAATTATATCCCATCAAAAGCTTCATTTGAAGAGATTTTCAATATTTTTCAATTGTCACGCTTGGTTGCGGAAGTTTTGCGCGAGGGCTGCACAGAGACACGTCGCTGATAGTTTCTTACTGCCACAAAAGCTGACTGATGCCGATCCGTTGGGGTCGTTTCAGCTGTTGGTTCATGATGATTCAATGATGATCCTGCTATCTCCGCACAGGCCCTCACGCATTCCAACATCATGTTGGGGTGCTGTGAACCGTGGATGCATCAGCGGCGTGGGCGGTCAGATATCTTTTTGCAACTCCAGTGATGTCCAGCTGCCACACAGGGTATGGAATCACCATTATTTGCGTGCTACGTTGATAGAATTGGTACGAGTCATATAATTTAACTAGATAAATATATATGTGTGTGTGTGCATGCACCTAGATATATACAATATACATGTGTGCGAGATGGTGCAGATGGTGCGGATGGTGCGGATGGTGCGGATGGTGCGGATGGTGCGGATGGTGCAGATGGTGCGGATGGTGCGGATGGTGCGGATGGTGCGGATGGTGCAGATGGTTTAGATGGTGCGGATGGTGCGGATGGTGCAGATGGTGCAGATGGTGCAGATGGTGCAGATGGTGCGGATGGTGCGGATGGTGCAGATATTGCACGCAAGGAAACAGCCGCACTATGCGACCGCAATGAAAATGCACAAGACACACCATTCTCGGACCACTTTTGGAAGTTGAGATGTCGAAAAAGTGCACGCCGTTGTGGCACGAAGCACATTTCCAACTCAAAAGTGTAAAAAACAGACAGGCTCGGAACACCTTTGGACGTTCAGATGTCGTTTCGCGTGGCAAGCGCAAAGGATTGCGCACCTTGTCGAAAGTAAGCAAAATGTTCGGGTTTTGTGCCAGTTTCAGCTACAACCACCACTACACTACATTACATTACACTCCACTCCACTACACTACACTACTACGAAACTACCACCACAACTACAGCTAGAACTACAACTACAACCTACAACTACAAGTACATTACATTACATTACACTACACTACGCTACACTACTTGTACTACACTACACTACACTACACTACACTACCCTACCCTACGCTACGCTACGCTACGCTACACTACACTACACTACACTCCACTTCACTCCACTCCACTTCACTACACTACACTACACTCAATTACACTACAACTACAACTGCAATTACGACTAGAACAACACTACACTACACTACACTAATTACACTACAACTATAACTGCAATTACAACTACAACTACACTATATTACACTACACTGCACTAATTACCTTACACTACACTACACTCCACTTCACTCCACTTCACCCCACTTCACTACGCTACACTACACTCAATTACACCACAAGTACGACCGCAATTACAACTACAACTACACTATATTACGCTACACTACACTAATTACACTACACTACAGTACACTACACTACACTACACCCCACTACACTACACTACACTCAATTACACGACACTACAGCTACAATTACGGCTGCAACTACGGCTACAACTGCGCTACATAACACAACACTACACTACACTACACTCATTACACTACACTACACCACGCTACACCACACCACACCACACGACACTGCACTGCACTACACTAACGGCAACTACAGCTACAACTACAACTACGCTACGTTACACTATATTACATTACCCTAGACTACACTACACTACCCTACATTACACTACACTACACTGATTAAACCACCACAAATACAACTGCAACTACACTGCATTAATTACACTACACCACAGCTGCAACTCCTCTACACTACAACTACAACTACAGCTGCACTACACCACACTACATCCAGCAGTTGTGGGTGAGGTGACCAACCAGGTGACCACTGCAACCATTGTACCACTCAAAAAAACACAGCTCCAACCACCTTTCAGTCCATCAGTGGACTCGCTCTGCCATCCGTGAGTCACAACAGCCAAGCTCTCCTATAGGTTTCATATTTTTGAAGCTTCCGCCACCGCCTTGTTCGGTACTACTGGTATTTAAATCACCCAATCCATCCCATCGAATGTTAGTAAAGCAATAGAAACCACCATCCCCAAATTTACCAATTTTATGGGTGGAGTATAGTATAAACCCTCCAACTATGGGTGGTTACTAACATTGATTATCCTTGCAAAAAACGTGCAAAAACTATGAGTGATTATCATTAAGCATTAGTTGCCATTAAAATCCAATGATTAACTATGGTTATATTATAATGGTGGTTAATTAACATTGATTAACATTAACAATAACCATTCATAGCCATTAAAAACCATTGATGAATATTATCATGAATCATCATTCATCATAGTTTTGATCCCATGTCAACGGTCATCCCTGCCTTCGGTGTCTCCGACTCTGCCGCCGCCGCCGCCGCCGCCCGCCGAGCCCTCGAAGCCGCAAGGTCGAAACGCGGGTGTCCGACAGGAGTTCTGAATGAATTTTTTGGGGGCCAAAATTGAGGATGATGATTTATCAAATTTATTACCCCAAAAATGTAGATATTGTGGATTTGATATGATCTAACTAGGAAAAAGTATGGATGTTTATCCAACCAATTGTTGAAAGTTCAATATTGATTCACCCAACGAAACTCCCAGAACTTCTGTGTACTCACTATCGTGAGTCATGCCATACTGTCATACTCATACCCTTACAGCACACCAAAATCCAAAATCAAACGCCGCTTCGGCGCATCACTGCTGCAACCGCCATCCCGACGATGCACCAACATCCTAAGCGCAGCAAGGGATGACCATGCCATGATACGAATCATGGCTTATATCCTGCGAGGATCCCCTGACATGTGATGCCTGATGGCAAGGTGCTCACTCCTTTTTTTGAAGAGTTGAAGGCATTCTGAGGCGCTAGGACTCTAGGCGTCATGATATGTCATGATGAGTTATGGAAGGCCACCTCGTGCCAACCTTGGGTCACAACTGGAACCCCCCTTCGCAGCCGCTTAGATCCGCTTAGATCCGCTTCATACGAGGCACAGACTGACGCCCAGCTACAGTAACTGTTCTTCGTTGCTTGAGCCGCGTGCAACGGTGAGGTCACCAATCAGGTCCAGAGATTTCTTCTTCACTGTGGGCTACTTGCGAACGGCCCCCCTATTTTGAGTTGGTACGACCCCCTATATTCTAGGTTGAACAGCCCTGGTCCTTTTACAAAAAATTGCCAAAACTGGCCAGGCGCCATTGGTGTAATTTTTAAACCAACCGATTTCTGGGCCATATCGGCCATATCCAATTGATGCACCCCCGGCCACTGGCTTCGCATCCCAGCGCCGCCTTGCCCTCGTGGTGGAACTGCAACACCGCCTTCGTAGCCTGACACACGCCCAGGGCTGTGGGTTCAAAGCCCAAGGAGGCGATCAGCGGCACCTAGAGCGGCTGGGGGTCGGGCTGGGGGTATAGTGCTGGGAAACTTTAACATTTACCTTGGTTTTTTTGGGGGTTCATGATGTGAAACTCACACAGAATCGTTTCTGGGGGGAAGTTGAGTTGAAATGCTGCTGACGGCTACTATATTTACCTTGTTTTTTTGGGGTTCATGATGTGAAACTCACGCAGAATCTTTTTTGGGGCAAATTAAGCTGAAATTCTGCTGACGGTTACTATATGTTACTATCATCGCCAAAATGATGCAACCTTGGGAGCAATATAGATTTGAAACCAAGCACTGCCATGTTGCATTTGAGGAACTGCAAATCATGTCATGCTGTGGCCAGTTTCCAAATAAATGTACATGCATAACAACCGTTCCGCACGTTTGAAAGTCACTCATCTGAAAAAGGTTGAAACAGTACAACTCACCTGAGATTGAAATAAAAACATGTTTCGGGGTGATATCCTTTGGTGCCCACCGGTGACCACAGGAAAAAAATCTGGTACCGAAATTCGAGGCGCCTAGCATGTGTAAAACCAAAAAAATGCATACAGTATATGTTTATGCCTATGTTTTCGAACATCGCCCAACAAAAAATGCCCTTCATGGATTCCATGTTTTCGATTGTTTAGTGTACCTCCATCTGGATGTCCAAAACAGGTCGCCCCAAAGTTCTGCCATGACTGTAGACCATTTTCCTGGGTAACCCATGTGGTTTCTTGTTTTTTCCATACCTATGTGGGTTGGATTGAAAATAGGGCACCGATGAGCACCCCCAAATTCACTTAGTCATCTGAATCATCTGGCTCTATATAATCATCACTATCCACCCCTTTTTCGGACAAACCTGCGTAAAATCTGCTGGAGGGTACACCTTGGGTAGCTGATTTTCGCTTTCACCAAGGCGCTTGAATGTTGAGGCCTCAGGCCCAGGCGATCAATGAGCACCGGCACCACAAGTGGTTTAATGAAAATTCGGAGGATTGATCCATCAACCCTGGGGAGTTTACTGGTATGTCACTGAGATTTTATCACCAAATTTGATAGTCAATGTATTGGCTTAAGGGGAAATCGATGGAAATCGGGTTTCTCATTGAAAATTGAGATGTCCTTTTGTTCCCTCCAGTCCCCACCAAAAAATTGAGAACTTCATCAGACCATATAGGAATAACCAGCTGGTTCAGTGGATTATCCCCATGATCCCCATAAAATGGAATTCTTGGAGGTGATGGGATTCCAAACCACCCACTATCTAGACCCAAACCATCAAATAACCAACCCCTAGTTGACTATATAATTTAATATGGGTTCTTATAACTCTAGCATCCATGTCGCTAATGTGAACCACCGGGTTTGATTGAGCCGGGATTGGCAACTTTTTGGGGTCGAAGTGACAAAATGGTGTCAGGGAATATCTTGACCGAACAACATTTGTGCTTACCATTAAACATTGTAGGAGTGTCCCTTCATCTAACGTTAGGAATTTAACTTGCTAGTGCCAAATGTGCAAAAAATAAACATAGAACATCTACCGTTAATTTATTATTTATCCATGATTCTCATCCAAAATTGGGGGAAAATCCAAAAATGGTTGCCAAGAAACAGAGCTGCTGGCGCAGATGCGCATGCTGCTCCACAGGTGCTGAAGCTAAAATGCTCCAGAGTTGCTTCCTGAAGGCGTCCAAGAGGGGCTTTAACCATTGGATGAATTGTAAAATGACTGATGCTGTTTAATACATGACGGGTCAATTATGGCCAACAACTAATTATACCACATCCACATCCTGCTCGGTGTGTTGTAACACCCTCCTTGGACCATGGCTTGCAGCAGTCTGTACTTTACATTGCGTATTGGATTCTACTCATTCAGTTTTCTCTACAACTCCACCTTCCACCACTTTGAAGCATCTGGTGCACGGCGTAGGGTTGGACATCGAAACTTCCAGCAAGTGTTCGACACTTCTCACTTGCATGGGCTTTCTCACCGAATTTGGTGATGAAATACAACTTTTGCTTGCGCGGCGCCTCCGTTTCAAACATGGGTGGCACACCACGTCACTGTACAAACAGCAAAATGCCGTCAATCCAAATACTACCGTCAAAAGATTGAAAGCCAGACTACCACATGGATGTTCACGTAAACTCCTAGAGGTCTACAGTCTGGTGAAAGGAGTGCCCAGGGTTAAGGCAGACCTTACCTCGGCATTCTTGATCGCAGAAACGTGGACAGCCGGTCATGATGAGACCGCCAGTGGAATGGTTGGGCGACTACGAGGAATGGTTTGGGTTTCAGAGCGAAGAGGTGCAACAGGAACTGGAAGGAGTTCCAAAGTCAGCAATAATTTGGCAAGTTGATGGAAATCTGTATGGGCGACAGTCAGCAGCAGCCCAATACAGAGTGAAGAAATTTTGACACAGAAGTTGCCGAAAGAAAGGTGCAATTTCAAGCGTGGAAACTCGACGCATGCGTGTATCACTGTGATGTGACGGACACAGTCTTGATCCATCACGCAGTGTCACAGATGACTTTGACATAGCAGGAAAAGAAGAAGAACGTCACGAAAACTTGGAGTTGGTAAGATGAGACATGTAGACATAGGACACTTGTATGTGCAAGAACTTGTGGAAACGAAACAGGTAATCGCGGGAAAGGTCGATGGAAAACAGGACCTGCTGACATGCGGACAAAACACGTGGTTGGACACAGGAGAGGAGGTAAGAAGCGGCTTAGAACTCCTAGGAATGGTAGACTTGACACAAGAAGGTTTAGATAGAAACGTTGGAAAAGCCCACATGAATAAAGTAGGATCAGTGTTCGAGAAGGAAAACAACTACAAAAGGAAATGGCAGCCACACAAGGGCTCAAGGATAAACATCCGGCAGCACCACAGCACGGTAGCTAGCGTGAAACACTTGAGGGTTAATACCTCATGGCTCCGTTGGTTCCACTAGCCTAGTGGTGAATGAACCGGGTACTACCGGATTGCAATGGTTCCGGCCGTTGTAGGACAGAAATTGCTTGGCGACTCTGAACTGTTCGTGTCTTCAGGCCGCACTCTTCGTTTGAAGTCTTGGCATGTTGGCCTCGATTTTGCGACCACTTGTGTCCAAAGACAACAATGTCTTTTGAGAGTTCTCTGCCGTCTCTAGGCGTGAAAGCACCGAACTCATCGTTCAGCTTTCTCAGCTCCTCCTTTCTCGCACGCAGTCTTTCTTTCCCGTCTCCACTCAACGCATCGAGGTGGTCCATCAAGTTCGCTGCCATTTCTGTTTCGAAGATCTCTTTGTGCTTGTTCAGCCATGCCTTGTAATACTTGACATCTTGCGGCGGAATCTCGAGTTTCTTGCTTTCCAAATCTTCTCCATCATAAATTGCTTCTATGGCACTGATCCTGTTGTCATCGCTATTTATGCTGTCATCGGTTGGAATTTGCTGCATTGCTGCTTCATTCAGTTCTGCCTCAGCTTGTGCCAACTGAGCACTCGACGAAGCACTGCCACCGTTATTACCCGGAGCTGCAGAGGTTGTACCCTCCTGGGTCACCATTTTCTGCTTCTTGGGCACCTGTCCGGTGTTGGTCACGTCGCTGCTCTGGCTTCGACCACGGCTTTCCACATTCAACCTTGGTGAGGCCGATTTAGCCACTGCTGCTGGAGCTATTGGTGCCATCGGTGCTGAACCTTGCCTAGCCTGTGTAGGCGGCATAACAGGTGTAGCTGCCGATGGTCTCGCACTTTCTGCCATTGGAGGTGCTCCAATCAGCACAACTTCTGGTTCTCCTCGATCTCCACCTTCTCCGAAATCATACGTTTCTTCTGTTCTGATTTCCGTTCCAGGTTCTGCATTTGAGTGATCCCCAATTGCCAGCGCTTTGGATTTGAAAATTCCAAGGAAGCCATTGCAAGGTGCTCCTCGCGCTCCATCCAAAACTGCGTTCTGGCATTGGGAATCTTCAGGAAGTCGATGCACTGTCCTGTACGTCTGGGAACCTGCCTCTGTCATGAGAATGTGCTCATCTGAGTTGAATGTCTTCCCCGCGTAGATTCCTTTCACCCATCGCGGTGCTGCTTTTGGCATGTCTTTGTTCTTGGATACTTTCCCATCACGGTCTCGCCAAGTGCAAAGAGCTCACTCACATAGTCACTGCCCTTGATGATCTTGTGTGCCGTCGTTCTCGTTTTGTTGACATGGAAACGTGCGAATGTCCATGCGCTGTGTCTCACGATCCACGGAGACAAATAATGTTCCGGTGCGATCTTCTCAGCGTACTTTTGACTCAATTCAAACAACCATGTTCTGATCTTGCCTCCAAGAAGTCCATTGATCATCTCGCCTTCTGCCATAGACTGCGGCGAATATCTGGGTGATCTCCTCACTGTCACTTTGCCATGCATTTTCTCCCGCACCTTGTCTAACAGGTTGCTCATTGAGTTTTCACCATCTACATGCAGAACTATTTTCTCCCATCCAAGCTCATCCAACCATCTTGTGAAAGCGCTGGCTGTCTTTGCAGATGCCCGTCAGGATGGTCACGAGCCCTTTCCTTCGGAACCTACTTTCTGCATCCACTATTTCTGAAAAGCATGTAGTCCGCATAGGTTATGTGCTTCTTTGACTCTTCTTGCCTTCTGTGAGGCTTGTCTCGCCCTTGTCCCATGACACATTTCTCGCACCATGGCTCGAAATTGGCGTGGTGTAGTTCATGCTGAGCTCTTTCTTCTGGTGTTGGCTGTTTTGGTGCCCGTGCTTCGTGTGCTTGCGGTTCTCCTGCTTGGCCTTCATCCAATGCGTTTGGATGTCCTGCAACTTCTCGCCGATCCGGTTGTCCTGGCTCAAGCCCTGCTTGTGGTACATCTACGTCATCATCAAAGATTCCATCTGGTCCGCTTTCTTCTTGTACAACTTCTGGGCTTGGCTCTTTCGCAATTTCTTCTGTCATATTTTCCAAACTTGTCGCAACGCTGCTATGGCACCGCGCGCCCTAAAAGGCTACGTAGTAGTACCCGCAGGCAACCCGGTCGTAACCGGTGGAGCGGCCCCTGTCGGGGCCGAGGGTAACCAGCTCCGCTACCATGCGGAAGCTAACCCACACTGGCTAGCATCCTTTTTCTGTCTTGAGTTCAGGGCTGAGGTGTCACAAATCCTCAAGCTGTAAACATGGTACACTGCAATACCACATCCTGCTCGGTGTATTGTACTCTCTAGGGAACAAACGAATCCACTTTTTTTGTGGAAAAAATGTTTTTTTGGATACGTTAGCTGCTGTGAACATAGGCTATGATAAATACCCTATACTTGAGACATGTTAGTTGAAAATCCAGAATGGACATGTTAGTGGAAAAGTTGTCCCCCCCCTCTGGGGGTTCCCGGGAAACTGCCAGAACACTACCGCCCCGGACGCCCCAGCATCCTTATTTCCAGACCCCAATAGGGCTCAAATTAAAGACCGCATTGATAACAAAACGGTGGAGAAAAAAGGGGCTCCAACTCCTTCCGGAAGAGCGCATCATAGATGATGCTCGTGGGTGGACAGGAAGATTGGGGGTGCATTCCAAAAACCAGTTGCATTTAGTAAGGGTTGGATGACTAGCCACGGAAAGCGCCCACCTAACGTGTCCGTGTTGTTCAGAGGATGTGGTTTTGAGATATGTGAGTGGTTATTGGCTGAATCTATCCCCACAAAATAGCTAACATATCCCAGATCAGGGTCGAAATCCAAGGGCCCCAATTGCAGGAACTGAGACATGTTAGCTGTTTTTGGGTCAATGGTCCCCAAAAAAGTTGCAATGCATTCCCCAGGAAAACGCCGATATAAAGTGGACATGTTAGTTGATACCTGAAACGGTAGCCTGAGACACGTTTGTTCCCGGGAGTGTAACAGGGTGGTTTATCAGAAATGACATTAATGATACAATCCGGCCAAAAAAAAAAGATGTCGGATGTACCTGTCAAAAACAGTGCTTTAACATGCTTTTAAGCGATGAAAAACGGATATATGTGGCTGAAAATGAGGTATGCCTTCAGGTATGCCTCTCAAATGTCCATTCCAATAGTGAAAGTCCTTAAAAACTCAGTGGGTCTAGGGGTGTCGTTGTCAGACATAGGATCCATGTCCCCGTTGCATCAACTTTATGGGCGCCAAGCGGCTGAAATTCCTGCTTGGAGTATGCTGCAATCTCAGCCTCCTGTCGAAAATCATGGAACCATGCAACCTTTGGAAATTGGAGACCCTGGTAAACAACGATGGAAATGGTAAGTGGCCAAATTCATGAAAATTCCAATCATGAAACCGTATCGAACTCATATTGAACTCGTATTGAAATCATCCAAAACTGCTTCAGTTTCTATGCGTTGCCCCGTCCTGCAAGCTCACCACCTGTTCCAAGGAGAGGGATGGTGGTGCAAGGACGTTTGCAGCCACAGCTGCCTGTCGCGCCAAAATGGTGTTGAAAAGTGGCAAGTTACCTCCAATAGTTGCGATATGTTGCGATAAGTTGCCACTCAACTTGTACCCACCCCTACTTGAACAGTTCAGGAGTTTCGTCCTTAAAGATATTGTGTCCGAAAATGCTAGTAACTGCTAGTATATCCACATTACATACAGTAGCCATGGAGTGGGAATGATGATAAACCAGCGGATTCACGGGTACCCCAATGTCACTATCCCCAGTAGCCAACCACAAAAGGGGCATATGTCGACTGTCACCAGCCATCCCAGCTGGGGCTGATAACAATCTTCAAGCGTACCTGATTCTCATAAATCATCCCCAATTGAAACATTCCAGTTGCATAACAAAGAATGTTGCGAGGCAGTTATAGTACACTTTACCCAAGCATAATTTGTACATAGATACATATATATAATATAACTATATATACAGTAACTATCAGTAACTTGTGAAATCTTGCCCATCCGCCTCTGCATCCGCTCCCACCAGAAAGCCAAACAGAAACTGCCGACCTGCACAGCGGAGTCGTGGCTCTCACCATACAGCGACAAGCTCCACATCTCCTGCCATAGGGCTGACGTCCACCCAGGACCCCGATCCCTGGGTACCATGAATTATCACTCATCCTGGATTAATGTTGGGTTTAATTGGGCTAGTGATCCTACATTGATCGTATACTCAACATTATTCAACTAAATCCGTGAATTCATGGGGGACAAGAATCCGAATCGATGAATTAAAACATGAACAACCATTATCATTTCAACCTTGGGTGCCAAATTGCCCGGAATTGAAAAACAAACCGTAAAGTCAAGGCAAGCCAGGGGTTGATTTACCCTGGAATGCACCGGAATTTCACTATGAATGGCTTTCAATATCATCAATATCTCTTTTGTATTCTCTAAGGAATCAGCCACGGCAGGCAAGCTTTGCCTAAATCCACCCAACTGATCAGATCAGCCAACCTGGAAGGTGAACTTTCCAGTTCCACGAGCGCCCCAATGAAAATCTGAGCCAGTATCTGCCGCGGCCAGAGGACCGTAAACACTTCAGGTCCGAACTCCAAAACATTCCACAAGAAATGAGTGATGAATGATACTCCAACTCGAGGATTTTGTTGCATATTTTGAAAACAAACATTTCATTCACCCAGCACTTCCAGGATCAAGGGATAGCGAAGTTCAACATCCTTGGCTTTCCGGTCCAGTAGACCCCCTGTTTGACAATAATATACGTCAAAAGTTCTGTCAAAAGTGAAATTCCGCTAAATCTTGCACTGTCAGGCAGCCTGGGGGCTCAACAAACCCCACTTACACCGCTTAAAAAGGGCCAACTCTGCACAGCGGCACCACGGCACCCCCCAGGGTCTGGACCCCGGCCGAGTTTGCATCCCACCTGTCTGATAGACGATCTGAGGGGCTAAAGGGAGCAGGAGACCCATTTAAATCATTTGCAACATTGTTCGATTTCGGGATATGGTGTCAGTTTCCTTTTCTTTCTACTGGGGCTGTTTGTTTGGGATCCAGTTTAATCAACACTTGCTGGGCTGCAAGACACGGTCTCCCAGCTAAATCATGACCCATCCAGCTGCATCACCATACTTCAAGGGCAGGAGGTCCCAGGTTCTGGTATCTGTTCCCTGCACGTTTTCGCAGATTCCGCTCCAAATCGTGAACCATGCGCTCTCCTATGGGTGGAACCGTCTGGCGGCCCCATTTGGCCGCCCCATTTGGCCGCTTCTCACCTTGAGATGTTCGACCTATCGAAGCAGTCACAAGCGAAACCATCAAAACGTCGATCTCGAAAGATGGCAGGCTAAAAAGGAGATCCCAGGAGATCCAAATGATAAGCAGCATCCCAAAACTCATCACAGCACTCTAATACTCTAATGACAACATCAAAAAGATTGGCCTGGCATTTTCTAACAGTATCCAAATGTATCTAAAACAAATATATATATATATATCATTATATATCTATCTATCTATCTATCTAATCTAATCTAATCTAATCTAATCTAATCCTATCTATCTATCTATCTATCTATATTATCTATCTATCTATCTCTATCTATATTATCTATCTATCTATCTCTATCTATATTATCTATCTATCTATCTCTATCTATCTCTATCTATCTCTATCTATCTCTATCTATCTCTATCTATCTCTATCTATCTCTATCTATCTCTATCTATGTATCTCTATCTATGTATCTCTATCTATCTATCTCTATATCTATATCTATATCTATATCTATATCTATATCACATTCAATCCACTAATATCAATCTACTATCCAACTATCATGTCTAGTGAGACACTAATTGCATTGGTTCACTGCTTCGTCGGACCCCGCACCACGGGGGGGTGACACGTTGTGGCGCTCACGGCGTCACGCGGCGAAGGGCGGCACCGCACAGGGCGGCCGCGAACTGCTGGGCACCACAGGGCAGCCGTTGATCTTCAGCCGTTTGCCATTGGGCACCTGCTATTGGGCCATGGGCACCCCACCTACCCGGACCTACCCCATGGGGCAATTGATCTCCACTCATTTAAAATAAATCCCAAGGCGAAATTTCAGCATTTTAAAGCCATTCCGGGGATGATGTCCCATTTCCATCCATTCCCTCACTAGCCATCATGCTAAGGCTGCTAAGGCTGCTAAAGGCTGCTAAAGGCTCCTAAGGCCCGTGGTGAGGCCGCCAAAGATTATGTAAGCACCTGTTGCTTCCTATTTCATGCTTTGGAACGGGGATGCCTGGTCATCCCTCGGTATGCCTACTCGCTGGTCTTGGGAGGTTTGATTTCAACCATCCGTACCATGGCTCCTAGCAGCTTCCTCAATATCCAGGGCCAGCAAGGATGCCAGTGGATAGCAAAGGGCAATAGCGGTCGATGTGACCAATACGAATTAAAGGACCGGATAACCCCACATGTCAACTTCTTCCAATAAGTAGCCAAAGAAAGGTGAAAATGGGATGGGGAAAGGCAGGAAAGAGAAAAGAGATGGTGGGGGACGGGTATGTGATGTGCAAGAAATGCATGTTGAAGTGAGGTGTGTGAAAGAGTTCCGCGACACCTCCCTCACACACAAAATGAGGCGGCGTCACCGAGACCCAAGCGCGCCACCAGAGCCAGCCCAGTGCCGTAAGTGCCACACCTGCCACGCAGAATTCAGTGAGTAAGTTGTGTGTGAAGAAGTTGTGTGTGAACAAGTGGTGTGTGAAGAAGTTGTGTGTGAGTACGTTGTGTGTGAGTAAGTTGTGTGTGAAGAAGTTGTGCGTGAACAAGTTGCGTGTGAGCAAGTTCTGTGTGAGTAAGTTGTGTGTGTGAGAGCAAGTTGTGTATGAGCAAGTTGTGTGTGTGAGTAAGTTGTGTGTGTGAAAGAGTTGTGTGTGAGCAAGTTGTGTGTGTGTGAGCAAGTTGTGTGTGTGTGTGAGCAAGTTGTGTGTGAGCAAGTTCTGTGTGAGTAAGTTGTGTGTGTGTAAGTTGTGTGTGTGTGAGCAAGTTGTGTATGAGCAAGTTGTGTGTGAGTAAGTTGCGTGTGTGAGTAAGTCGTGTGTGTGAGGGAGTTGTGTGTGAGTAAGTTGTGTGGGAGGAGGCGGCGGGAGGAGGAGTAGGAGGCAGGAGGAGTAGGAGGCAGGAGGCCTCGGGAGTGCACAACCAAAAACAAAAAAACCACACAAAAATGTGGGCAAAAATGAAGTGATCCTGGTGGTGCTGTGTTGATGGCTGTACGAATTCTGCCGACTGCTAACGCATGGATCAGGGAAAAACTATGACAATGATAAACCATGGGATTGACTCGACTATATAATTACCCCCTGTGCTGAGACATGGGATGGGTCATGGGTGACGGAATGTGATGGCTAATTGGCTCATGCTTGGACCACTGAGCCAACTGAGCCAACCAATAAATATCAAGCACTCCAAGCATTGTCCTGCAATCCGATCAACTTCCAGCCGTAGCTGGCCAACCGGCCAACCGGCCCCAAGTTCCGCAATGTTCTATAAATCTGTGTGATTCACAACAAATCAATGCAAATCAAAAAAGAAACTGAGTCTTCAAATAAAGTCAAGGAATGTCAAGGCAATGTTTTGGTGCTTTAGATGATTCCCCCAGCTACCCTGCGTGCCCTGCACCTCGGGCTCCCCATCCTCCTCAGTCTTGGGCTCTCCCACCACGATGGCCACGCTCCTGAGATCAAGAAGGGTCCCCTGTCCACTCTCCTTTAAACTAATGTCTTCTTATCATCGTCATCATCATCATCATCATCGTCATCATCATCATCATCATTCTTACTAGCAGTATCATTGCCATATTATGTAATTTATGGGCCTATTGTACAGCAAATATATATATATATATGATCATAATCATCATCATCATCATCATCATCATCATCATCATCATCATCATTCTTACTAGCAGTATCATTGCCATATTATGAAATTTATGGGCCTATTGTATAGCAAATATATATATATACATATATGATCATATATGCGTTAAAAATATATATCACGCGCATGCATTCTCTAGTTAGGTATCACCAAGTACCCAATGAATTTCTACATAATCTCGTGTTTTTCTACATCAACTCTGATTTTCTACATCATATCCTTTTTCCTACATCAACTCTGATTCCTGCACCAACTCTGATTTTCTACATCAACTCTGATTTTCTACATCAACTCTGATTTTCTACATCACATCCTTTTTCCTACATCAACTCTGATTTCTGCACCAACTCTGATTTTCTACATCAACTCTGATTTCTACTTTAGATAACTATCCAACTGCTCACTGGTTTTCAAAAACATCCACGGCTTTGGAAACGGCCCCCGAACTTCCAAGGCGCATCCGGGGAAAGAGACCTTCAACTTGGCCTCGGAAGTTTCGACCAGCAACCGCTGGGATTTCCCAAATGGGTGGTTTATGCTGGAAAAAAACTATTTAAATGGATGGTTGGGGGGTACCCCTATGTTGGGAAACCTCCATATATCATATTAGATCATCATATTCGCAGTTGAATGGTAACATAATACATAAATCACCTCTAGAATCTAGTGTGTATATATATATATAGATATATAGATATATAGATATATAGATATATACAGTAGATATATAGATATATAGATATTTCAACACCTGTCCTCCCAAAAAAAAAACACACAGATCCCGAAACGCTCCCAGATCCGGTCCCAGTGACTCACCGCCCCGGCGCAGCTGCGGCAGAGCGGTTTCTTGGACCACAGCGTGGCGGAGGCCGTCCAGGACGGCCGCTGCTCCACAGGGACGGCGCCGCCTCGGAAAATCCATGGGGAAAAATCCATGGAGTCGGTTGGGATTACCCTCTGGTAAAAAATGATGGTTTCATGGGATTTAACCACTATAAATGGTGATTTGATGGTGATTTACCCTCTGGTTATGTCAAAATAGCTATTGAAAATGGCTATCTATAGTGGATTTTCCCATGAAAAATTGTGATTTTCCATAGTTATGTTAGTTTACCAGAGGGTACTATACCCCAATTTCAATTGGTAATCCCCAATCTGGTTGGTGGTAAGTCAATTGCTCATAGAAAAACAATCCAGTCAGTCATAGGATGATGGAAAAGTTGGAAACCTGGAGAAGATGGGATCTGGCTGGTGGTATACCTACCCCTCTGAAAAATCCGCCCGCACCGAAGGTGCTGGGGCGTGATCTTCCGGATGGCACTCGTAAAAGGTTACAGGTTTACCTTGGTGGGGGGGGGGCATTTTTCGGCCAAAACCTCCTGTTTTTGATAGGTCGTGACACTCGCCTTCAAAAAACACTGTAAAAAACAGTACGGAAGACACCTGTTCGTGAACGCGCCCGTCCAAAATCGGCAAGCGAAAAGTGAAAAAAACCCGTGTTTTTCAACTTTTTGACCTCAATTTTTTTGTTTGCAACATCTTTTTTTCGCGGTTCCGCAGGTGACCAGGCCTGGAGGCGGATTTTTGAGTTTTTGGACCCGTTTTCGGACTGATTTTCGTTGTTGTGATAGCAGAAACACTGGTTTTTACAGTGTTTTTCTGTTTTCTGCATGCTTGACGGCTAGCTTCAAAACTTCCAAAAACCTCGTAAATTACGCTGTTTTATGTTACGGTGTGAATGAAAACATCGTAAATACCAGTGTTTTTTGACGTTGGTTAAAAAAACACTGTAAATTACAGTGTTTTTGGCCACCTGACCCTCAAAAACCATGGTATTTGCAGTGGTTTCTGCTTCTCACCGCGCAAAAACACTGTAAATAACAGCAATTTCGCCGTTTTTTCATGTTTTTCGTTATTTTTTGAACTGCGTTGGTCCGCTATACATGGCTATCAAATTCTTCGCGTTTTTTTTTCCGACAATCAGTACTTTCGGATGTTTTTGGTCTCAATGGCCGACATCATTGGCAGTTGCGAGCGGCTGCCCAACGATGCGGTGCGGGCGGTTGCCGTCGCGAAGCGACGTGAATATATTAGTCAGTTGGGATGATGACATTCCCATATATTATGGAAAAATAAAAGTCATGTTCCAAACCACCAACCAATGGAAAATTGATCATGGTTGTCATGGTTTCCTATGATCACTTGGATTGTTTGGGGGAGAACATTGCCGGGGTTTGGAGGAAAGACCGCACCAGAGATGAAGAGAAGCGGCAAGTGAAACGATCAGCAACGAAAATGGGGAGATTGCCAACAAAAACATACAAAAACGAGATTTAAAAGCATGGGTAAAATTAAAACGGGAACACGATGGGATACGAGCAACTAAACTTCTGAGCACCTCTCTCCGTTGCTAGCGCACCCCGCCCCTGTTTTGGATACTGTTATTGGTCAAAAATATCGGCACCTTCTATCCCCAAAAATTGTCGCCAAAGTGATGGTATAGTCATGCAAAATGATCACATAAAACTGCATAAACAAATGGCCAAGAAAAGTCCTGATACAACAATTACAGTAATTGAAATGTTGTCCTTAAACCCTTGAACTTTGGTCAACTCGCAAATCATAATCTAAGTTGTGGGGAGGGGATGCCTATATACCTTTCCCCAAACAAAGCTGACCAAAGATGATACCTACGAAAGCGTCAAGGTCTATGGCGTCTTCGTTCGGGAATCGACCATGGGAATGGAGGTCCCATCGCTGAAATTTGTCCCAGTTCTAGCCTCAAGATTTTGTCTGTAGTATAAGCACCTTATTTAATTTAATTGTCATGTCGAGATATCTATTGTAACCAATTTGCTGCTTGCACTACAACCCCCATTTCAAAGATCATTGCACCTGGACATCCCGCGTTTATCAAATAGCATCGAATATGTTATCCCCTAAATGTCACTGGTTGATACTACTAGTCTACTGCTGGCTGCTTGTGACCGGGGCCATTGACCATGATTGACCACCAAATCCCTTCCCCCCAAGTAAAAAGCATCCCCCAAATGAAACCCCGGTTTAGTATTGCAATCTACTATATAATTAAATAAATCTACTGAATTAATCCTACATACAGATCTATTCATGAACTGGAGTCCCCAATTTTGGTGGCATTTCAGAATTTCATAAGGCTGGGGGATGGGATTAATCATTACTTCATTCTGAACCCATTCATCCAATCATTATTATCAACCAGTATTGTATAACCAATACTGAAGAGTAACCAGTATTTGCTATGATTGAACATGTTTTACCATCATCAACCACTGTTTAACCCTCATCAACCATTGTTTACCATTGTCTAAGCTTAAATACGAACGCGATCCCAACCCCGACTGCGCCAAGAATCAAAGGCCCGTCAGCAGCTTGAATTCCTGAGCGTGGAGGATTTCAAGCACTGGAATGGCCACGATAAACCAATTTGGGCATGATGGATCAAAGTGTGGCGTTTGAAACAAACCTCTCTTGACCTGGACTAACGCTGAGGTACTTGGGCGGGCGCAAATTTTGACCCAAACCATATCTGCGGTATAAGGCCTAATGCCGCAAAATAAAGAGTAAAGGGTAAATGTGAGTGAACCTGCGTGTATAAAAAGATGATAAACAGTTGGATAAAATTGGAGCGCATATTGTCAGCTTCATTACATTAATCTGGTCAACCCAGTAATAAACCATCCCCAATTTTGCCATGTTTATGGGTGGTATAAACCATCCCTAAGTGGCATGCTTTATTGTTGGGTTGCCCACATTACCAACAAACTTCCAGCATGGTTTCGGACCAACCACCCTCTACCCGGACTGTGATTAGACCCGGTCCAAGTTGCGGCATCGTGTCTTCGGTCAAAGACGCGGCCATTTTCATCCTGGGTTACTGGTGAAGGAAACGGGGATCTGGACCAAACATAGGAAGTCATCAATTTAAAGAGCATACTGTGGGTGGAAGAATCCTGCACCAGTTGATAGCTGGTTTATCTTAATATTTATAAGGTTTCAACCATTCAAGGTGGTGCAGGATTTCTTCCATCCACAGTATCACACTATTTCATCCATTTCACACAGCCACATAAAATCAAATGAAATCATGTGAAATCATGTAAAATAACACCATTAAGACTCACTGCATTTTTTCGTGATGATTCAACCAAAAAGGCTAACTATTGTAGGAATTCATTGGAGGAAAAAAAAACAGAAATCATCATCAACCAGCAAATTCCTGAAATGGACCATCCCCACAGCCACTATTCTCGAAACACATTCCCCTCCTCGGTTGGATTTATCCAATTTGTCAACTGGCTTTGGATGGAACATGTCAGTGAAGTCAATAGGTTTCCTCAAATTGGCAAACAGGTAGCTACCAGGTAGCTATCAGAATAAAGACATATAAAGACCATCTAAACAATAACCGCAGAACAGAGCTACGCTAATTTTTTTCAAGTCTAATTATGCCAATTGTTTTCCCCTCTGGTAATTCAACATAGCTATTGAGCATCACCCATTTTTTTATAGCTAAAGCATCGAACTAAATGGCCCATCTTCCACAATCTTGAATGGGTCCAGAATTGTTTTGGGATTTATGTTTTTTTCCGTTTTGGATTGATGTTTTTGGATCTGGTTTTCTGCCCGATGTCCTTGCTATTTGCAGCATTTTGGAGCTGGAAGCTGCCATTTCAACTGTCTTTGCAACATTTTGGAGTTGGAACCTCTCAATTTTACGTAGAATTTGCAACATTTTGGTGGAATTTGTAATATGTTGGAGCTGGAAGCTTTCGTTTCAACTGTATTTGCAGCATCCTTGAGTTCGAACTGTTCATGCAACATGGTAGTTTGCAACCAGGGTTCATTTACAGTATATAGGGTTGGTTTAGGGGTTTGGTTTGGTTTGGTTTTAAGTTTTTGAGGGTTGGTTAGAGTTAGGGTTTAGTTCTTTTGAAGGGTTAGTTTAGGATCTTTTTAGGGTGTGTTTTAGGTTTTATTTAGGCTTGGTTTAAGATCTATTAGAACCTATTTAGGGTTGGTTTAAGGTTTGTTGAGGGTTGGTTTAGGATCTATTTAGGCCTGGTTTAAAATATATTTAGGGTTGGTTTACGGTGTATTTAGGCGTGGTTCAATATCTATTTGGGGCTGGTTTCGGTGTGTTTAGGGTTTATCCAGGCTTGGTTTAGGATCTATCTCGAGTTGGTGTTTAGCATTGGTTTAAGATTTATTTAGGTCTGGTTTAAGATCTATTTAGGGCTGGTGTAGGTTTATTTAGGATTAGTTTCAAATTTATTTAGGGAGTGTTTAGGGTTTACTTAGAGTTGCTTAGTGTTTTTTTGGTTGGTTTGGGGTTTATTTATGGTTGATTTAGGGTTTATTTATATGATGTTATGATGTTTCTTAAGGGTTATTTGCAGTATAAGGAGGAGAAAAAAAAAAAGCAGAGAAGCAGAAAAGCAGGTAAGCAAAGAAGTATGGAAAAGCAGAAAGCAAAGAAGCAGAGAAGCTGGAAAAGCAGAAAAGCAGGGGAAAGCAGGAGAAAGCAGGGAAAAGCGGAGAAGCAGAGAGGCAGCACAGTGGAGAAGCAGAGAAGCGAAGAAGCAAAGAAGCAGAAAAGTGGAGAAGCAGAGAAGCAAAGAACTATAAAAGCAAAAAAGCATGGAAAAGCCAAAGCAGAAAAGCAAAGAAGCAGGGAAACAGAAATCCAAAAAAGTTGCCCAAAACAGAAAAATAATTTCCCAAAAAAATAACCCTCCATTTTGAATAGGTAAATTCCTCATAAATCATCTGCAAATAATCTACAAGTGAGCCATGTTCACTCACATGCTATGGAAAATCACCATCTTTGAGAGATAAATCAACTGGAACATACCACAAACTGGTTGGTGGTTTCAACCCCTCTGAAAAATATGAAAGTCAGTTGGGATTATTCTTCCCAATATATGGCAAAAGCAAAATAATCCAAATGTTCCAAACCACCAACCAGCAACTGTAACATACCATAAATGGCCCAAGGAACTGCCGCCTCAATGGACTGCAAGGGCCCCTCCTCGGGCGCCAAGGGCGCCCCTGGGGTCTTGTACTCACCGCTGACGGCGAAGTTGTTGTAGACGCCTTGCTCGGGAACTGGGGGTTGGAAAATGTGTAAAGAAGTGGGAGCGTTGCATTATTCATATATATATATATATATCTCTCTCTCTCTGTGTGTGTGTGTGTCTGTATATGTTAATCAATTATCATCACGTATCATCGCCGCATGCATGTTTCTGATTAACTTCACTCTGCAGTGGAGGATTTGGTATTTGATGATAGTTTCTGATGTTTTTGGATGTGGCTTCCAGTTCCAATATATCCAGAATTGGCAGCTGGCGCGATCCAAGTGGCAATTCCCATCTGCATCGATCACAGAGAGGATGGCCACATTTCGCTTCAGGCGCGTGAACCAGTTGGGCCCACTGAAGTGCTCCCCGAAGCAATAGAGGTTTGCATCCTCAGCAGGCAGTGGGGTGGCAAAAGCTCATGGCCTTTCAACATCCTGAAGAAGCTCGCCTCACTGGGCATCAAGCACTCATAGGTCAGATTTTTGGATGGCCGACCACAACGGGTTATGTCTGGAAAGCGTGTAAAACACTGCGCTTTGGAGTGCTTATGGCACTTTGGCCCAAGGCTGCATTTTTAGTTGAAGCGCCCAGAAGGGCACGCTGACACAACGGCGCTCAGCCATGTCTTGCTCTTTTTCAATGGCATCCGGGCCCGCTGGCCGCCACAATGCAATCATGTCAAGAAGCGATTGGTAAAGTCACGCCACAAGTCCGGTTGATCTCTCTCGATGGTGATCAATATGTCGCGGTTTGAATCGGAAATTCTAGGCTCACGATGACCATCAAGTTCATCGTACTGCACTTCACTGGGCTTGCCCTCAAATGATATGCTACTCTTCACCCAATCCCAGCACGTGTGTTCCAGCCAAGGTAAGGCATGCTCCCCCAAGTGGTATTGGCGCCTGACTTCCGGCAAACTGTTCTCAGTCACAAAGCGCGAGGCTTCGGCATTGACCTGTCTGGAATAGCCTTCCACTCTGGTCCTCTCAAAAAAATCGGCCTTGACCTTGATGAAGATGTATGGGATGACTGTATATCTTGCCGTGCTTCGGGTATTGAGGTCACCATAGTAAATGAAGACACGATCATCGAACGGCTCAGCTAGGTCAGACTCGGAGATACCAAAGGGTTGTAGCTCCTGCCAGATCTCAACAAGCTGGGATTGGGGCATACCCATGCTACTGGCCATCTACTATACCTATAAGAAATCTTTCCAAAAAAAAACCGTGTTTTCCTCTCAGCTCCTCCAGAAATTCCCGCCTAGCCGCAGCAACCAGGTTGCTATCGGTTTGGTGACAAATATCCCCACCAGAATACTTCACCTCCGGTCCATGTTCCGAGTCCCAAACTGTCAGGATATAGAGATCTCCTTCCTCTCCCCGCCTGGAATAAAACACCGGGCAGGTCACGGCACAGCGGAGGAAGTGGCTTTCCCCAGCAACCTGGACGTGCCACGCATCCGCAGGCTGCGTGGACAGACGTTCGCGCTCTGCGCGCACAAACATGGCGTGGGCTTTCAAGACATCTTGGTGATTCTCTGCAGTAAGGCCATCGCTTTGAACAGATCTGGGCAAATCTACCTTGAACACTGAAATGGGACCATGGCAGAATCGAAGCCTCATAAGAATCTCCAAGCTGTCCAGACTATTCTCAGCCCCCTCTACAAGTAGCAAGACCTTGAGCTTTAAAGAATACTTCTTCGGAATCCTTTCATTTTTGGGAATTATTGCTCTCAACAGGTCGTTTTCGGGCCAACGCTGGGCTGCTTCCTCTGCTGCTTGACACAGCTCCCCATTCACAGGCACTTGAAGAGCCTCTGTTCGGCCAGCGGCTGTTGCCAATCCAAGAAGATACCGCAGCTGCTGCACTGGCTCCGTTGCTTCAAAGACGTCCTCCAAAAAATATTTGTTGCCCTCCATGAAGATGCAGGTGCAAGACATCAAATCATCAGGGGTCGGTTCCGTCTGGTAGCCACCTTTCTTGCCACCCTTGTGGTCGCCCTTGTGGGCGCCCTTGTGGGCGCCCTTCTGGCCACCCTTCTCCCCACGGCGTCTCATGATCTGCAGCGCTACCTGCCGCAAATGAGCAGCTTCAAGTTCAGGAACTCTGCGCTGCTTCAGTCAATGCAAGGCTGGGACTCAAAGCAAACATCTTGCAAGGATTCCTCATACAATGCTTGTTCAATTTCCTTCTGGTTGGGGCTGCTGTTGCGGTTGATGTGTTCTGATGTGTGCTGATGTGTGCTGATGTGTTCTAATGTGTTCTGGCTGTCCCTATTCCACGATAGATGCAGATCTTATTTGAAAGTCAGTGTCTAAGAAGCCATTTCGTGTTGCTCATCTTGAACCCTCTGCAGGCACACGTCCTGGAAACTTTTTCATGCAATTGAATTTAGACTTTCCTAGACCAAGAGATACAATTGCCGTTTTATGGATGGTAAAACGCATCCCCAAGTTGGAGTCTTATTGTTCGGTTTACCACATTAAAGCGTAATACATGAGATGCGCATTGACTTCTTGGGCGTCGCAACGTGCGTTCAAAGGACCTGCCTTGGAATACCAAGAGCTTGGTTCCATGCCCCATGTTGACTCGCAGTGAGGTGTTCTGCTAAACATGTAGCTTATACATATATATATAGACATGGTAATGATAGTAATAAAAGAATTGCTAATAATAGTAAATTGAATATTAATAAAAAAAAATATTAATAATAACAACAATAACAATTAGCGCACGAGTAAAAATAGTAGTAGCAATAACAGTTATGTATATATATATAGCACGTGTATATATATATATTGTTACGATTACATTACATATTATCTAATACGTGAAGCATATGGACCGGATTCCTTGACAGGTCCACCCGTGGATTTCCCCACCAAGCTTGGTAGAGGAATTGCTGTCCAAGGAACTGAGAAGAAATAGAAATCCAGTATCTGCAAGTATCCTGGCATCACGGAAGATTGATTGGTGAATGTGACTGTGAATGTATTTAATACGATTTAATGCTGCCTACCCTGATGCCCTCACTAGCGTAAACAAGGCCCACCCATGTATGGTGATATTGGGGGATGGTGCATGGTTGCATTTACCACCTTGCCCCGAAATGCCCCCAGCATGGGCTTCCTGACCCTTCCCCACTTTCCCGTCACATCCCGTCACCAGCACCAGTCCAACTGGGCCTTCATAGGAAGCCTCAGCAATGAGGCCGTCTTCCCCTCATCTTTGGTAGAGAAACCCACTGAGTCAAAACAAAGAACTACCATCAACTTCATCAAAGATCATCTAAAGATCATCTAAAATCAACTGAAATCATCAACAAAATCATCTAAATCCAGAGGTTGACCTGATTTTTTTTCGCTTTGAAAAACCCCTTTCCAGCCATTTGCCACTTGGATCACTTGGGTCCCCCGGTGCTCCCCGCTGCTCCCCGTTGGATCCTTCCCTCCGAGGCGCCGGGATGTTCGTCAGCTCCGCGGGATCGATGCGTCGCACTGGCAGTATTCGACGGCAGACCGTGACCAGCAGAGTCGCCAGGACCGAGTTTTTCGTTAGGCCTCCGAGAGGTGAACGGAGGCCTCTAACGACTGAAATTGATGGACGGAGAAATCATCCATAAAACCAGTTCATAATGTTCATATTTCATGTCATTAAAAATCAGGTCCATTTTCTCCGATGGACATGAGATGGAAATGATGAAATGGCGTAGGCCTACTTTTTTCGAGAATTTTTATGTTCATCCCAGATATCCCAACAAGCACCGAGTTGTTTCGCTCGGGAAGCCAGGAAAAAAGGGATCATGGGATGATCGTGAAAGCTGATGAAAGCACCGATGATTCTTCGGTTGGGAGAATTCCTTGGGAGACTTCCTTGGAAGTTGAAGGGATGATAAGTTGTAAAACCATATAAAACCCATATTGGGATAATAGTAATGGTGTTTCGACTTGATATGACTTGATGTTGATATTTCTAGGGATGCGTATCCTGTCAACAAACGTCAACCGCAGAAAAAAACGGATGCTCGGGGTGGGGCGGAGCGGGACGGATATTTGGGGGACACCGAGGTAATATGGGCCAGGACTACATATAGTGATAATATGGTGATTTGATAGGGGATCAAACCAACTGCAATGGTTTAAACAATGAGTTGGTAATGATATCTGATAATAATATGTGATACCGAAAAATGGGGATAAATCTCGAGAAACCCTTGATATAAATCTGGCATGGGGTCCAAGAGTTGTGTAACCACAAGGATGTAACGAATAGCAATGGGGATATCGGGACACCAACAATAGGAAGGGACAAATGGTCCCAATAATGGTCAACAGTAGTAATTGGTGGATGATCAGTGGTTCCTGAACAATGTCCGGAGTACTGAGGGTATGGGCGGGGTTGTGATGGGAGAGTACACCAACCATAAGGATGAGTAGGAATCAATGGGATGTCAACAACAATATGAGGAGAACCAACAAGAAGACATTTTGCAACGGGAAAAAAGAAAATGGGGTAGCCCTGAATCCGCTGGTTGATCATAATTTTCCCTACTCTTTGGTTGCCATTTGGGAAGTATACAGTATATCCAATCCCAGTTTCGTTCAAACACACATATCCAGTGTTCAAGTTTGGGAATCCCCAAAAATTGGCCGGTGAAATCCCATTAAAACTCAATATCTTATTGCTAAAATTGCAAAATATTCCCATGATATACCCCCATTGCCATGATCACTAGTGGGGGGGGTGGTGCTAAAATAGTGGTGGTTGTTTCACCCTCAAAAGTCATCAAAACCATGCCATGCTTGCCAAGGCCAAGGCGCTTCTCCTCTCACAGTCCAGGCGCCGCGTGAGCGCCTTCAAGTCATTCAGTGAACGGCCATAGGCGCGCACCGCCGACATGTCCTGTGTCGAGCTTTTCGACAGCCTGGGAGGCCCTAAAGAGCATAGAGAAGAATTGGGCATTACCCTAGGCGAAACTAACGTAGATGGGGAAAACCCATGGTTTCTATAGGAAAATGATCTATAACATGATGGGTGTTCCACATCCATGTTAGTTTTTGTCTAGGGTAATTGGGGTAATATTGAATTTCATGGGATGACTATGACCTATAATCCCAATGCCAGAACCCAATGAGATAATGAATATGATGGAATATCATGGTAGTACGGAGGATGCATGGACATTGGACATGATGGAATAGTTTACCATACTATGCGTATTATCGTTAATGTGGCAAGCCCTACCCTGAACCAGGCCTACCCAAATCACGGATTGCTTTGGGGCTTGGGTTTACAGCTGGAAAAGTTGGCTGCCCATCTGTAAAGCACAGTGAATTGGGCGTTCAAAAAGCATGCCCGGGCCGTGAATTCCCAGGGCACTGATGCCTCTGCCTTGCATGGATAATGTATGATAGTTTCTTGTTTTCATTCAGCTACTTCTGTTTCTTGAATCTTTACATAGCCAATCTTATCAAATACCAATTTTTTGGCTGGTTTGAATGCCAGACCCCCATGCATGGCAAAAGATTAAAGTATTAAACAATATAAAACATACAGTATATAAACCTATTGAACTACCCACCCAAGGTTTCCCCAAGCAGGACCAAACTCCGGTGCAACGCCACCGAACCCTGCGGCTTCCCGGTCCTCTCTGTCCTGCGGCTCGTGTGATGTGTGGTGTCAATCTTTATTCCCTCATTCGTTGACAAAATATGCATCCTTCATCTATGGTTTGTTGATGCTTTCGGTGAAGCCGACAGCGATTTTCTCGCAGCAAAAAGCTCCCGACTGAGTTGGAAAGTCTGAGACTTTACTTTAGACCTGCGCGTATGCTGTGATATCTCTGCATTATGTGCATGTATATATGCGTCATTGAGTGCGCTTTATATTTTCACCCTCACCCAGGCCAAAACAAGGCCCAGCCAATAAAGCACTTTCGGAGTGCTAAAACCAATTCATACATGTTGCTTATTATATGTCCCTTCATATCCTCATTATATATCAATTTCGGCTGAGATCCCCATTTTGGTAATATTAATCCCAAGCCCCTAGTATTATACACATACACCTCCCAGAAACCATGGTTTAACAGCATACTTACAGATATTTGGGCCATAGATTACCATAGCACATTCTTAAGTTATATAATAAGTTATTTTCCAAAAGAAAAAAACATATATACCATCTGGTTATTTAACATAGCCATGGAAAATCACCATTTTTAATAGGTAAGCCATCTATAAATGGGCCATTCATTTCCCATGGCTATGTTAAATAACCAGAGGGTACATACACTCCCTAAATTTAACGAGCACCCTGTGGGCCAATATCAACAAGCTTGCTAAGCACCTTGGGGCAGGCCTGGGGTTATATATGTTAATGTCAACCCTGGATTAATAAACCCCAAACGGCTGTTTAATTGGGAGGGTACCATTTAAGTATTAGATTATGACTATTGGAGGAGTACCCCCCTAATTAATAAACCATGGTTTATTAATCCGGGGTTGACATATAACATATATAAATGGGCAATTTTCCATTGCTATGTTAGTTTACCAGAGGGTAATGGTCCCAATGATATCCCGACGTCCCCCGCTGGACGGCATCCCACCTTGGTGGCCAACAGCTCCACATGCACGGCATCCTGAGCTTTCTTCAGCTCGTCAAGGACCCCGTCCATCTCCGCTATCAGCTCCTGTTTTTGGGGTCAAAGGTGTCTGGAAGGCTATGGAAAACCTCAGAAAATCCATGTTTTAATGGGAAAATCATGGAAAATCCAGTGGAAAACCTCAGAAAATCGATGTTTTAATGATTTTTAATGGGAAAATCATCCATAAATAATGAATTCTCCGCACCTTTGATTACCAGATGGTACCTCCCACAATCCCTGGATTTTGGACGGTAAGACCTGGCTGGTTGGCGGTTTTTTTCACCACTTTCAACCACCCTGAGAAATATGATGTGGTCATTGGGTATCATCCCATGGCTATAGTTAAGCATCCACATTCTTGAAGCCACCAACCAGCTTAGGTTGTATCATGGTTTACCGCATGTTTTTCGAGTGATGAGATCATCATGTTCATGTCTACGGGGGCATGTTAGATAGATGACTATGGTTGGATCTGTGATTTTTCATATCTTGGATCTTTGAAAAGCGCCGTCCTTTTTGTCGTCTGGAGTGGTCGTTGTGGACAGCTCCAATAGCTCCCGATGGTTTTGCATCAGAATCTCTTGCAATCGCTGTCTCTCCTGTCCGACCTCAGGACCGAGGTTGCCTGCATGCCCTGCATGTCTTCCTCGCAAGGTTTCTCGCACTGGGATTGATATGTAATTCCCACCAATGGGGGGGCGAGCACATATCTCAACAAAGCCAAATTCAAGATGCAGCTATATATCATTATATGATATCATGATCTATACATATATATATATATATATATGTGTGTGTGTTGTATCATCTACATATATTATATATATAATCATGGTATATATATATATATTATCTATTTATTTATTTGGTTATTTATTTATTTATATTATATCATTGTATATATATATACATATATATATACATACATACTGTACATACATACAATCTATAGCCATCGGGCTATAGTCTGCATCTCCTACCAATTCTCTCGTGGAATGCACTTCTTGCCGGTCCACACGAGGGCTAAACAATCTCCACCTTGCTGTGTTCATACCGAAAGTGGGAAGTCAGCGTGGTACACTAAACCGATACTGCCGATACTAAAGTCCCAAGTCTTTCAAAAGTCATACAACACAAAAATCAGAAAAAATTACGGGTAAGCATTTAGAGCAATAGTAAACCATCCCAGAAATTGCCATGTTTTTTTTCGTAGTATAAACCATAATAATCATGGGTGGTTTAGTATTGTTTGACTAACCTTCTTGTTCAATCATTGGGTGGAACACTTCCGTACCGGTAAAGCGCTCCGCCGAGATGCCGATTCTGCTACCTGCCAGGTCAATGGTGGGATCACCATCCCCCAGAACGGTGGCTTTTTGACGAGACCATGGGATTAGAATGGGATAATACCAGGGTTACCATCTACCAATTGAGTATGTCTTATTGATTTGTATGGCCCTCCCTTTTGGCCAGTTGAATCCCAAGTTTGGCCAAATCCTGAAGTCTGGCTATCTCAATTTCATACACAATCCCATGTATCCCAGCACCCTCTGGCAAACATAGCTATGGAAAATCATCATCTTAATTTCAGGACCATGTTCCATCGCTATGTTGGTCCCAAGGGTATGTTTCTCGCGCCTGCGCGGCCTCTGCTTCTGCATCCCGCGCACCTGGCGGGACTTTTGGTGGTGCCATCTTTAGCCACTTCTCTCCCTCGAAACGGGGCATAGCAAAAAAAAAATACCCCAAAAAAAAAGTGATTCAGCAGTGGATTCTAAGGCCTCAGGTACCAATGGGAGGATATTGTCTTTTTGATGTGCTTGTATGTTTTCAATTGATGGCGCCAGGAGATTGATTCTTTGATGCATTTCAAATACTGTTCTTCCTCACTGGTGCAATTCGATTTTCGGATTTATCCCATTTTTAGACTGACATTCCCATTCTTCAGCTTAAACATCAACTTCATCAACTTCGTTTTTATGACAATTTTTATGGCTGAAATATCCAAACATCTCCATGGTTGATCATGGTTTCATCGATTTCACCATGGAAAAAATGGCACTTGGTGGCTCATCCCACTTAGTAAGTGGGTTATAACGCTTATAACCCCCAAAAAAAAAGTGGATTAACCCTACTTACCCTATTTATAACTGGGGTTATAACATTTATAACCCACTTACGAGCCGTGGGATGAGCCACCAAGCATCAACTTCCCCCCAGCTCCGCCCCGATGCGAAGCGGCCGCCTACGCTCGCCAGCTTCCGCAGGGTCTTCCGATCCTCACTGCCGAGGCCTCGGTCGAGGATGTCCTGCATCAGCCGGTCCTGGCCACGTGGGGATGCCTGGAGGACCCCCAAAAAAAAGGTGTCGAGTTGAGGTTTATATGAAATATCTTTATATGGATATATATATATATAGGTTTTATAATGGTTTATATATTTATATATATGTGATATATGTATATATAGTTTTTATAATGGTTTATATATATATAGGTTTTATAATGGTTTATATATATATAGGTTTTATAATGGTTTAAAAACCACTTACTAATTGGGATCGGCTTTTGGAAGATTCAGCCTTTTGGGTTGGGACTTGGCACGTGTTGGGACTTGTTTGCCCATTCTTCCCCATGTCTTGCGGCGTTTTTCCCCGGAAGTAGCCCTATCATACCTCATGTTTGATCCACGCGTCATGAGTTCAATAGAGAGCTAATTCAGTGATTTTTCCCTCAGCTTTTGGGACCCTGACCCAAAATCCCACTGGAGTGGTCCTCATGCTCCAGCATCGGTCTGAGGAGTTCTGCTCGCAGCCTCACACTGGGATCCCCCCCCTGGGTGGTTTCTTACAGTTTCTTGAGCCAATTCTAGGAGGGTGTCCAACTACATAATCCCGCTGTCACAGAGACCCTATTCTCCTCCCCATTTCACTCCGAAAAAAATCTCCAGCGTAAGTGAAATCCCGTGTTTCGGTGAAATGCCCTGTGTCCAATTCCAATTTCGGCGTCGTTCAAATCCACCAAAAAAAACCGTAAAAAAATGCCAGCCCAAAAAAATATCCAGTAAAAATGCAGACCTCAAAATCCACCCATGTTCATCCATTTTCTCTGGGTAAACCATGGTAAACCCATCATTTTCATCCAGTTTCCAGGGTTTCAAAGGTTCCTATAGGAACCACCAACGCACCCTCTGCCGCCTGAGCTCTCGCCAGCGCTCCAATGCCACGCGCACGGCGGCGGCCTCACGCTCCGGTAGCTCGTCAGGTGGGCGGAGCTCATCGCTGCCTAGGGCCCCCACCATAGCTTTTTTGCCACGGAAAGCCGTGGAAAATCCATAGAAATCATTGAGTGATATGACTGGTATGAGGGATTTCAAGTACTTTGGAAAATAGTGGAACCCAGAGAACATTGGGATTTAGATGGAGTGAACTGATAGTTAATTTGCAGAGTTTGAGCCTGCAACTTAAGGGATTTCACCACCGAAAAAGGGCGAACCAGCTGACAAACCCGGAGGTTTAACCACACAGAAGGCTGGAATTTAAAGTCACAAAAAAACTTCCCACAGCAAGCTGGGGATTCCAAGTCATAACAGTCAAAGCCTCAAGAGAGCTTGGCAGTAGGAATGCCCTTAACGTCAGGGAGATTGATATCTATGGCCAGTTGTTGTTCCTATGTGTATTTGTAGATATATGGCATGGACGTGTCCATTTTTATGGGGGTACCCCGAAATCATCCGTTTTAAGAAGCTTTTCCACTATATCCCATCCATTATTGGGGATGCCCCCATTTATAGAAACCTCCATAGACATCAAATGTTCCTATCAACCCACGTGGCAAAACCGCATAGCTCCAAGCTGCGCAGAGGGACTTCCTCTCCACTGTCCAGCGCTCGCTTCCTGGCGGGAGAAGGCCAAGGCTTGGGAAAGACTTGGTCATTGGTCAAAGGAAATGTCCAGGAAATGGAATCTTTATACATTATATATATATACATAATATTGTGTATGTATATATATATATATATGTGTGTGTGTGTTAAAAAAATATTATTGTGTAGATATATATATATCCCCCTGGAAATTCAGGGGCCAACATAGAGTCCCCATTAATTGGGGGGATCTGTTTGTGACCTGTCTCACTCAAACCAACTTGCCAAGTGGCTGCCCACGCTTACCCATCGGCTACGACTGGCTTGCTCATTGTCAAGTCTTAAGGGCTGAGCCATCAAATCCCGCGGATGCACACGCATGCTATACAGATAGCACATATGCAATACATCATATTACGTCGCCACTGGCATGATGAAGGGGTGGTCCAGCAAACATCCGGAGGATAATCGTTCCAAATCCTTGGAACCAATTGAATTAAGGAAAAATCAGAAACGGAGTTCTGTAACACAAATGAAAACAGCGGCTGGCACAGCTCTGAGTTATCAATTCCAAACTTCTTGTGACAAAATGTTGTGCTGTGGACCTGATCTGCCACACTGGCCCATTGTTCCCCTGAGGTACCAGCCAGTGCGCCGGCGGCGACGTCGCTGGTAAATTTTGATGACAGGTCTGATTTTTGTAATGGCTGGGAGTAGAAAAATTCAGAAACTCCATGATCATGATCATGATGATATTGCCGTCACGATTGATTCGAACATTACGATGCTGGTGGTATTGGTGATGCTGATGATGATGACAACGACAACAACATGCTCATGTCTATACTTCAAAGATCCAGCAGAAGACACTGTGTCCGAGTGGCTAAAAGGGCGTTTCATTGCAAGTACCCTCTGGTGATTTAACATAGCTATTGAAAATGGCCATAGAAATAGTGGATTTACCCATTGAAAATGGTGATTTTCCATAATTAGTTATGTTAGTTTACCAGAGGGTACCCAAAGTTACTCATCCATACTCATCCCTACTCATCCCTGCGTACACACTGCTTGGGCACCAGTCGGTCGAGGCACCAAAACCATTGGTTGCGTGTTAAGCCCAGGCGGCCACGATGACTTCGACTGTTGCTTCATCCGCTAACTCTTGAGGGCCGTTTTGTAAGCAGATCGTATCAACACTCAGGCATGCATGATATCAAGAGATGCATAGTCATCAAGAAATATCACAATTCTCACACATCCCCGTTTTTCTCAAGACTGCATTAGCACATTGGCCTTGCGACATTCCCTCACTGCGACCTCACATACGTCACTGGCATCGACTGCATGGGCATTGTGGGCGGCGCAACCCTTTGCGGAGGAGCCTGCAGGCTGCGGGCACCCATCTCAGCACTCACGGGGCGACAAGTGCGGATGCGACTTTGATCCAAGCACTTGGGGCTCACCACGGGTCGTGGCGCCTGGGGGCCTGCGGGTCCCACGTAACGCTGGCCACACATGCTGCAGAAGTCCGAATCGTCTGCCAGCAGACGCTTGCAGGCTTGACAAATGCGCGGAGGCATCAAATGTGAAGTGTGGGATGGCGACCCCAACCTTCCCTGGCTGCTCTGTGTTGGCAATGGCACACTACTCGAAACAGGTTCCGGCCGTGCAGGTGAAGGGGGTACCAAATCGGCTACCACTTCGGGGCGCCGCGCACCACAGCTAGTGCAGAACATGGAATCTTCTTCAAATTCTTCTCCACAGAAGCCACACTTCATCGCAGGCACTGCAGGGGCTGCAGGCACAGCAGGTGCTGCAGGAACTGCGGGAACTGCAGGGACTGAGTCTTGGTCTGCTTCTGAAGGTTCCCTCCTCAACAGCCCCAAGCCCTGGCTATCCGCCACGGCCACCGGCCGCGCGGCCCGACGCCCGCTGGTGCGGAGGACGGCCCGCAGTAGGGCATCGCAGAGGCAGAGGCAGCTGCGGGCGTCCAAGGGATCTGCTTCGTGGCTAAAGAGCCTGCAAAGACACTAAAGATGCAGGGGGGAAAAAAACACATTAGACATCATTAGACTACAAATAAATACAAATATGGCAAATTTCTGTTCCTGTGGCCCTGTGGCAAAAATCTTAACTCCAGTTCTCCTGACATCAATTCGAGTGATTGTCCAAACTTTCGGCATGGGACAGGGTACGTTTAACCAAGCCCTGGCCTGTAGAAGGTCAAGACGTGATCCTCCATGGGCGGGGTGAGGTTTTGGTGCTGGAAGACGGAGCGAACGAAGGAGTGGACACCAGTAGCATCCAAGTAGCCTGACAATGGTCTGCAATGTATGTTCATTTGGACTGTTCGATTTGTTGGGTGCTTGATGTTGGCTTTCTTGAGTTGTACCGTATACCATTGTTCGGCGAATCACCCTGATGAAATTAATCGGCACATCTCACCCTAGTTAGGGGTATGTATAGAACATCTTCTTACAGTACCGCATGCTTGTCAAACGATGCCAACGTGTAAATAGTATAAGCCCACTTCAAACGCTTACCCGGCTGGCTATAGGGCTAAATCATGCCGCAAATCATCATGGCAAACCAAAAATCATATGTTTAAAAAACTCATTTCCACACTCAAAATAGCCAAATCTTGGCTGTAAATCCTCCATCTTCAGACAAGCTCACATATCACATCAAGTTGCTTATATAGTTCTATTCACTTCTACTATTCACATTTACATAATTATCATAATTACATACATATCTCCATGACTCCAAAAAATGCCATGGATTTCCCCACCTTTTTTCTTTCAACACCCCGAAACATATCCCCCCAACGAAACCCGGGCCCCGGGGCCCCGGGCCTCGTTTCTGCAGGTCCTCCCCGCAGTACGCCTTCAGCGCGCCGCGTGCCACGTCGCCGCGCTCCAAGGCCGTCAGGGCGCCGATGCGCTGGGCGAAGTTCACGGCGGCCAAGGGTCCCAGGGCACTGGTGAGCTCCTGTGGGATGGGCCGAAATATGTTAATAAAATGCAATAAATGTGTAATAATATATATCTAGTAATAAAAGGTATCAGAGGGAAAAATATGACATAGAACATGACATATAAATAGAAGAAGGAGGCAAAGAAGAAGACAAAGAAGAAGAAGAAGAAGAACTGTTTAATGATGTCGATCATGCGGATACTGATAACAGCGATAGCAAAAAATGTATAGATACGAAAGGAAAAGGCATGAAAAACAAACGAACTTAGAGCAACAGCATCATAATACAAAAAGTGATATAAATCATGACATGAGGTATCCTGCACTAAGCCATGATTTTGACAGCCGTCTTTTAAAACGATCAAAAAATAACTATTAAGCTAGTGGGAAACCGAGTTCACTGGCCTCGTCATCAAAGTTCACCAGGATGTGACCAGGATAGGACAGACCTGGGGTGTCAAGGGTTGGATCAGCCCTTTTATTCAGAATGTTCTCTTCAGAATTCAACAAAAAATCACCGGATCTATGTGTCGTTTCCAGATTTATTCCAGAGATTTTTTTGGGTATGCAAACATACTTTTCCATATTTATGCCATCCACATCTATCATCTGTCATTATATCAACGGTTTTCTTGGCGGGAAAAACCTTCAACCAGTCCCAGTCGACCCACAAAAGCATCACCGTGCCCCCGACTCGACGTCTCCTCCACCGCTGGGATCTCGGTATACAAGACCTAAAGGGTGGAACCGACAAGGTACATTAGTTGTTGTTCTCAACCCTGACATTCCAATGGAGAACGTGAAATAACCCACTTTACGATGTATAAATATACTATATATATATACCTATGTATATGTATATATATATAGTACATACATATAGATAAAGTATACCATATGGAATTAGTTGAGCGCCTCCTGCTGAAAACATCCAAACCCCTCAAAGTCAAACGTCCCCAGGGCAAGTGCCCCGGCCCAGCGTTCAGCTTGCGCCAAGGGATTCTCGGCCGTCACCACCGGGTTGGCGGTGAGGGCCCCGTGTTCTGCACGGAGCCTCGATGCTCCAAGGACTTTCTTCAAATGAGTTGGACCTTTTCTTAAGACAACTTGGAAAGTGAACTGGAAATAGAAACCACATGTCTATTTGCCTATTGAGATACTGTAGAAGAAAGAATGCCCCTAGAATACCTAGACTTATTTGAGATCCATCTTGCAAAAGTCTTTGAAGGTGAAAATTCCAAGAACTCTTGCGCGACTCTTTTGGGCTCCAACCAACCTGGGATAATCATCTGCCAGCATTCCAATGCATTCCAATCACCAATCCGGGAACGACTGACCCGCATGACCATTGTCTTCTTGTTATCATCATCATTATGATAAGAATCTGGATGCACTATCCCTATTGCTCCCCAATAATACATGATAATAAATTGATAATAAACATATTCCACACATTTACCCGTATAAACTCTTTCTTTGCATGTTTTCCTTATTCTCTAGAATACTGACATTTCCCATCTGGAAATGATCATTGGTCACATTGAAGCTAATTTCCTTTTCCATATGGCCAGAACATGCAAGTCGTCGTACTTGAGCAGTGTTCAAAACCCTTTGTCATTCCATTGTGCTGCTTGGCTAATAGGAAACCCCGCTGCATGGATGATGATCATCCCCAACCCTCCAAACTAATTATCAACCAGCATTTGCCACTATATGTATATATATATATATATTAGCTACGGCCTATAGGCCTCTGTTAGTCTGGCCCCTCAAAACGAAGGCAACAGGCACTGGCAATGAGTCGACGGCAGGACAACCAAATGACGACAGCAATGTATCGGCACGCCAACGGCAAGGCAATTAAAGGGCGACGGCATGGCAACGGCATGGCCACAGCATGGCGACGACATTGCGACGACATGGCGACGACATGGCGACGACATGGCGACGACATGGCGACGACATTGCGACGACATGGCGATGACGTAATGACAACATGGCGGCGGTGCGGCGACGACGACGACGCCAATGGCGGCGAAGCAACGGCGATAACAGCAACAAGGGGCAACCTGCCTGCCCCATCATGCTCAATCACTGTTAGCCCTCCATCTTGGCAGAGTGTGATGCTATCTTTGGGTGTGTGTGCGTGTGTGTTTGTTAACGTGTTTTCTCTGAATGATGACTAGTATATATAATATTATATATATATATATACGTTGTTTGCTTTTGTGGGTCCTGGAGTATTGATTATTTTGTATTGGGCTTTTGGCTTGCATGCTTTGCACTTTACAACTGGGCTTTGCACACTTTGCATATGTTGTTGCATCCCTGACATGCAGACAACGATTCTTTTTACTAAAGCATGTCAGCAGACAATGCCTATACAAGTCAGATACTCTCAAGTCAGACATGCTTGAGTACACGGAGCAGCCTTTAACGCCAAAGGTTGGCAAAATTGAATGCAAAGAAAGGTGTGCACAAACTTCTGCACGTTCACCGCCAAACTGCCCTTGGGTTTGCTTGAGCTATGCGCCAGCTGAATTTCAAGTAAGTTATACGCTATATAGGTTTTTGTGACACGTTAGATCCCTTCTAAACGCATTTAGTTTGGAACAGGTTCTTACCCATTGACACCTTGTCTTCATCGCATTTGTGAGGACATAGTACCTAGGCTTGCATACTGACAATGAGCAGCTACAACAAACAACCTGAATCTGTTCTGTCCCGCTCTAATCCTACATGATATGTTTTTTCGATCACCATTTTTTACATAAAATGCGTGGACTTGACAACATGATCCACATGTATATCATTGTATATCAATTCCAGTTTTTGCACGTGTCAATCACAGGTCCTGTATCTCCTTTATCTTCACCTCCCCTTTGCAAACACGCATGTTGCGAAATACAATGGGCTATGATGTATGGTACTCTGGTGATTTTTGAAACCTGCGCAGCAATCTAGATGCTATCAATGTCATATCAGCGATGTTCAAAACCCGCTGTTGGTGATTGATTTTGCTCGCCTTTCGGAGCTCTGATCAACAAACCAGTATATTGCAATCAGATGGATCTTGAACACTGCTGATATGAATCGTCTACGTGAACCGATGTTTGGCACACTGAGTGGTGAACAATGGTTAGATTCTTAACAGGATGTCTGGCACAGTGTTTTCGATACAGCTTCGGTGCATTAGCACCCTGTTAACTCATTTGGGCCAAGAGCCGGGTGTAAGGAATCATCGCCAGCCCGTGAATCACTGGCAAGTACTTGCAATAAAGAGAGATCAGCTTAGTCACCTTCTTCATGTGCCCCAAAACAATTTCGCTTTCTGCAGGCTTTCTGCACATTTTGCAAAACAGGTGACGGGTTGGGAGCACCAATCAACAAAGTGGTAGGTTTAATTAGGTTTATATACATGTTATTTTTCCTAAGAGAAAGTACCAAGACTCAGGTCACCAAACGGGCGCGCTATTGAATATGGTTGGGATTTTGCTTCAAAATAGTATTGCGCTGTTCTACTCAGATATTCTTCCCCAAGCCCAGCTCTAATTATGAAAATCTACTCCGTTAATAAACGTATTTTTTGTATAGGCACCGCATGCTGACCCATGACAAGGTGATATTTCATAGGTGAAGCTTGGGCAGAGGTGCTACGTCAAGAACTCTCAAGCCAGACATGCTCAAATACACGGTCGAGCCTTTCACACCAGAGGTTGATGAACTTGAATGCAAAAGCTTGCAAGGACCCCATCGTTTTTGCATTCTCCTTGCGTTCAATTTGTTTGAATTCTGCGCTTGCTAGGTATCAATGATATCAATGTCAAGCACTACAACTTTGCACGCTAGATGCATGGTCGCAGGTTGAACCTGGAAAGGTTTCTAGGAAGTCATGTAAATATACAACATGTAGTCCCAGTTTCATCTTGAAAATTTGGGCATATAGCATCTACATCGTCAACAGCGCAGGTTATGTAATGTAGTACCGCATTCAAAAGGAATCTGGTTCACCCACTGTTTTCTGAAAAAAAGGGCTCACATGCTGATAATGCGTCATACCCCGTGCAAGCACATGTCCAAGGTGTTTCTTCATCTAAAACCAGTTCACACACACAGATCTCGCGAAATACAATGGACGTAATGCGCAGGAATTGCCAGAATCAAGCGAGCAAGTGGTTGAAATATTTGATACAACCGGCGATAATTGTGAAGGAAAAAAGCAATCAACTTTTCTTTCTTTGAATAAGTGTAGCGTAGATTCTCCTCCTCTAGATGCAAATTGGAACCGAAAATCCAAACGTACAGCGGGACTGGGGAAGAACCCCGCGGAGCGGCTTCCTACAAAGGGGGGACGTATAGGAAGGGGTTTCAAAAGCCACATAAACAGGAAACATGTTTTTCCGCACCCCTAGCTGCAGACAAGAGGGGTTCATCTCCGGACAGGGCGGGGGATCAAAAAGAGAATAAACCATTTGTTCCCTGCATTGTCCGGCGAATTCATCCCCCCTGCCTGGAGACGGAATATATTGATGCACAGAAACATCAAAGAACCCCGAATTGAGATTCACTACGTTTGTCCAAGTTGTGACTTTAGCAACATGAGAGTTCATGCGGTGTCAAAAACAAACTGCTGTTGTTTCAAGCACATTGGTCGAACACAATTCAAGTTGAATGCTGCCAGCACTGGAAACAAACACCCATTTAACGTCACTTCTCTTTTCCTTTTTTGAGCACATACACAGTGCCGATTTGCATCTTCCCAAGGTCACACGCGCTTGGTTCTTGAAACGAATCAAGGCCCATTCGATGACTGCATTGGAAGGCCATAGCGGTCATTTCAAATCACACCAATCATATAGGGCAGCTGCATGACGACGACCTTGCAACAACACGGCAAGCAGCGCGGTGTCATCATCAAAAAAATATGTTTTTATTTGCCTGTGCGTCGGCACGATTTTGGGTCTTTGGTGGAAGGTGACACTCTGTGAGCAGGGGTTGCGTTTTGCTTGCAAATGCGATGATCCATGGATTTCGTGTCGCCGTGTTACTTTTTTGGTTTCTGCGACATGATGATAGGACCAGGAAGAGATTTCAAATTGAAGGATATTTCCATCGTCATGTCATTGTCCCTTCATTGTCAAAATTGTAAAAAATGTCGTCGTCGTGTGGTCGTCACATTACCACCACATTGCCGCCACATCGCCGCCACATCGCCGCCACATCGCCGCCACATCGCCGCCACATCGCCGCCACATCGCCGCCGCATTGCCGCCACATTGCCGCCACATCGCCGCCACATTGCCGCCACATTGCCGCCACATCGCCGCCACATTGCTGCCGCCACAGGACCTTAATTTCTGCCAATAAGGTCCTGTTTGGCCAAAACAAGACCTTATTGGCAGAAATAAGGTCCTGTGGCAGCTGTGGCGGCGAGGTGGCGGCAATGTGGCGGCACTGTGGCGGCAACGTGGCGGCAATGTGGCGGAAATGTCGCGGCAACTGGCGCAATGTGCCGCTTGCCACCACATTGCCGCCACATCGCCGCCACAATCGCCGCCGCTCAACCGTCCACTCGCCGCCCATCGCCGCCACATCGCCCCCCATCGCCGCCCATCGTCCGCCGCATTGCCTCCACATTCCGCCAATGCCGCCACATTGCCGCCACATCGCCGCCACAGCTGCCACAGGACCTTATTTCTGCCAATAAGGTCCTGTTTGGCCAAAACAAGACCTTATTGGCAGAAATAAGGTCCTGTGGCAGCTGTGGCAGCTGTGGCGGCGAGGTGGCGGCAATGTGGCGGCGCTGTGGCGGCAACGTGGCGGCAATGTGGCGGAAATGTCGCGGCAACTTGGCGGCAATGTGCCGCCATTGCCACCACATTGCCGCCACATCGCCGCCACAGCTGCCACAGGACCTTATTTCTGCCAATAAGGTCTTGTTTTGGCCAAACAGGACCTTATTGGCAGAAATAAGGTCCTGTGGCAGCTGTGGCGGCGAGGTGGCGGCGATGTGGCGGCAATGTGGCGGCAATGTGGCGGCAATGTGGCGGCGAT